TGGATGGTCTCATTGTGTTCAGCTCATCAAGACGCATCGAATGATATACATGATGACCTCGAGGTCACGTGACCTGAGGTCAACCTTTGACCTTGACCTTTCGAGGTCAACATATATATCATTCGATGCGGATTGACGAGAGGATCACGATGATGCCCTTAGTTTGTTCCTATCTTGACTAATTCGAAAGTTATTCGAGAAAAACTCTCTCCATATCTAGCGCCGCCATTTTGACTTTTTCGACCCCTGTGACGTCATCTTTGACCTGACCTGAAAATGACCTTAGTAAAAATTGTAGACCTTGTCCATGCGTATCCGATGCCGTTTACCGCTTGTCGCTATCTTGCTTCGTTCTCGAGATCTCAGGGGGGGGGCCGAATCGGCCCCCCCGCCAGTTTCTTGTCCCGGTGGAGCCCGCCAGGAATAGGGTTAAAGGGACCCTCCCACCTTAACATTAGATTTGAGTTGAGATAGCCATATTGGTGGCCATGGCCTGAAAATACCGGTTTGGGCACTCACAACATCGAAAAATGCTTTAATTCGGAGATATCGAATTTCAAACTTGCAGTTTTCGGATTCTAAGGGGCTAATGCATTGGTATGCCCCCTTAGAATTTGTGACGTCAGCGGAGATCTAACAATTTTAAATCTTTTACTAAAACGTTTGGTAGCACGCGGTGGTATATGCTGCTTTGCGCGCAACAAATGCCGCACTTTCAAATAAAGTCGCTAGGAACAGCGGAGATCCCAAAAAGTAAACAAAAGTAAAAGTCTAATATCTTGAAAACCGGTGAATATTTTTCGATGAAATTTGGTAGATATTCGTTTTTGCTCTTTCTGAACCGAGCGACATCACTTTCATGCCAATTCATTAACTTTTTTGAAGGTGGGAGGGTCCCTTTAAGGGGCGAGTCAACTACTGGGTTATTTTCACTGTTATTTTGCACCCATTAAATGAAACTTCTGCTCCAATTCTACCCATTGAACCTCAATATCATGATCCACCTGTCCATTACTAGGTATCCTTCCTTATTACATAGAAACTTTAATGGCATGGTAATTTATAATTTTAAATGACAATATTTTTAATTTTTTATGTTTCTTCTGTAGGTAGGTAGGTAGGTAGGTAGGTAGGTAGGTATGTATGCACCAGACTGCTATGGACACTTTTCCAAGTTGGTGGGGCAAAAAACCTAATGTATGTCTTGGTTTGAGTCGTTTGATTGAGTTGATTGATTCCTTTCATTGTCGCGTTTGAGTCGATTGAATCAATTCCCGAAAACTGCTCTGACTTGATTGATTTGATTGGTTTCCCAAATTTGTCGTGATTGAATTGATTGCTATTGGTTGAGTCGTATACAACCCTGGGCTGAACTTGCGTCAGAGCAGCTTCGTGAGCATGATACCGAATTCTGGAAAATGTCGTTTTCTTGGACGAAAAATGCTAGTTTTCGGGAGCGGGACGGGCCCGCATCGTACCCGAACTCATTTATCGGACGCTCTAGCTCAGAGGATTGACCCCGTGACGTCAGACACGTAACCGCGGTCATGGTCTTTCGCTCACTGGACGGCGCGCTGAGCGGTCGTGTCATCTCATCCCACCCCCATCTCGACTGCCGCCTATGTACTAAGCGCTATGCTGCAGAGTGTAGATGTGTAGATTGCGTATTACGAGTGTATGTAGATTACGTCGCGCCTTGTCTACGAAAGCGATATACCTATACCTGTCTTGAATCCATAGTAACCAACAGCGGTTCCAAGCGGTTAGGACAACCATAACGTTATGTTTCAGCGGTGTTAATTACGCTATGTTACATACTACAAAGTGATTTATTTCGTTGTTATTTTGTGGAAGGTATTCGTCTAGCAGGCTGTTGCATATCTTGGACGTGCCACCTCACAACTGCTGGCTGTGTGAAATTGTCGCTATGTTCGTCAGACGAATACATTCCCGGAACACACGCCAGTCTTTTCCTCGGGAGCGAGTCGGCGGATAGAATTCCTCAGCACGGATGCCACAGGTCGCTTGTGAGTGCGACGGCCCAGGTCACCACAAGAGACATAACGTCGTCAATGACCAGAGTGGTCGGGACGGATCGAACCCTGCACAGTGCACGTGTGGGCGTGGATTGACAGCATCGGGTGCGGGGAGTTGCCGAATCACTGGAGCCGTCTCCTAGGTGGAGATATTGGATGGATGAGTTCTACTGCCATCTCTCCAAGCTATGAGACTGGGTATTGGAACATGTGTCCGCTGCGACTAAGACTAACTAAGCGAAAAAGAAAGACGCAGAAAAAAGGCACAAACAGGCTCTTAACGTGTGCTTTCAACACTGTTCGATCAATGAAGTTCCGTGTAATATCGAGGTCACTCGTCACTGGAGGTCATCCATGTACAGTTACTGAAGAATTGGCCATTTTTTCGTAAATATAACTGCCATTGAATATATACCTGTTGCAGAGAAGATTTTTGCACATTCCATTGATATGGCCTTTATAGACCATATATCCCCTTTTCCTTATTGAAGAAAATCCAGCTAGTGATTATTTTAGCTAAATTAGTTTTTTTTGTATACCTCAGGTTTATAGGCATGTGTTTGGAATAAGCAGTTACAGGTGAAAATTCAAAGCATTTCAACTCACTCCTGAGAACAAGCCAAACAGGCCTGGTTAAATTGAAAATAATAATATATAGTCAACTATGCTGATTATTTTTTATATTATTCTTTATCTAAGCATGAAACATGAACTGACAAATCCAAACTGACCAGCATGAAAAGCCACAAAAACAGACGTCTGCTGATGAAGGTAGCATTCCTTCATCCTCTACAGATCGACTGGAGACCACAACTGAAACTCTTGCTTTGGAGATAGACATAAGCATGCAAAAAACAACACGATGCAAAAATGGACACAAGGCGGTGGCATGCCAACGTCTCAAGAACAATAAGAGTTGTAGTAAGCCCCAGGACTAGGGTGACCGTGAGGCTGCGTGGCGTCCGAGAACCAGACGGAGACGGAAAAGTGGTATTTTGAAATTATGTCACACTGCAGTCTGTGAATAATATCACACCTGTCTGACTAGCACTCCTTACGGCTTACAGGGCCCAGTGAAAGATGCTCAACTATTTTTAACTAACGTGGAGTTCACCGTGTGCGGCTCTCTGGGAGCTGGACACCAAACAATATGGCCATTGGCCATATTGTTTTTTTTTCTTCCCACTGCCGCCCTGCTGTTCGTGGTAGCCCTGTGGAACCTGCTTCCCATGCATGATCTCTGGAGCACTGAATCCTCGTACCGGACAGCTAACCCGGTAGATAAACTGACGAGAGCGGTGCGGTCTGCCATTGAAAAGCAAGAGCAGATATTCAGTGGAGGGCCCTATCGTCCCACCCGACCCAGACAACAGCTAAACGGAAAATCGCCAATTGCGCTGAGCTAATAATACCGCGTGTTGCCAAGAAAGAGGAAGGAAGGAATGCAAAGAGTCAATTCAGTGTGTTGAATACCCAAACAGGCGAAAAGAGCCTGAAATAGCACCACTCCGATCTGGACGGTCAGACGACCGGGCGGCGAGCAGATTTCAGCGGGGCACGGAGGCTGCTGAAGATAATCTGGCTCTTGGTATAACTACGTCAGGTCCTCGCCAGTAGCGCCACCGCCCAAAACATAGCGGAACCTCAGCCGATCCTCCCACTCTGACTCAGAATTCAGCGGCATATTCTGAGACCGTGATGGCATTTACATGCTTTACCCGTTGTGTTCTAGCACCTCAATGACGGCCAGAGGACTGCCTCGGTGATGTATGGTCACCTTTGCCTATCGGTCATATACTCGGTCAGCAAGTATATCAACGTAAAAACATAATCTCCAAAAAGTTTCAAAGCTACCCATAACCTGAATTGGAACAGACTACTATCGACGATGGTGGAATCGCAGTAGTCGGTTCTTGCTAAATTGGAACCGGCTAGCAGACAGCTCTCACCAGAGCACATGGAATCGTGGACAGCGACCAATAGAGACGGAATCTGAAATAGTTCTCGAAACCGGAGTCGGAGTCTTATTACATTCAATCGTCGATCTTGCAGACAAGCTAAAGACACGACGAGCTCGTGAAAATCGAAATTAGTGTCACGTGAACGCTATCGTAAATCGTGGGTCTCTGGGCCTGCCCGCCCTTGGAGAGTCAAAACCGGGTGGAAAACGACTAACAACGCACGAGCAGCGACCCAGCGCCGACCGACCCTCATTCCCAAGTGACCGGCCGCCGCAATCCTGACCCCACAGCCAGTAGATGTCACGTGATATGTGTGGTAACCAATGAGCGCCGAGGCCGAGCGCCCGACAGGTAGGCTGCACCGCAGCTATGCTCGCCGCACGGTGCACAGCCAGCCATTCCCCTACGGCCCGGCAAATCTCAGCTTCCAACAGAGATTAGACAAAGTCACTTTATTTGACCTTGTGACCTTTTGGTTTATCAACAGGGAAGCTGGGGTAAAATTTACTACGGGTCAACATAGACGCGTCAGCCGTTGCGTGTCACTTTCTTTACACAAAAAAGTCATTTAAAAATAGACCCTGGTGATGAAACGAATTCATCAGAGCAAAGTTGATTCAACAGCCAAAAATTTGTTTCACTTCGCCTCTGTTGTGGACGATCTTGTATGCATTTCTTTCATTGCAAATGATAGTCGTATACTTATTTATTTAGCGTACATACATGAAAAGAATCGTCATACATACAGCGATGGTAAATACAGCGTACATGAAAAGAATGGTCAATCAAAATCCGACATATCATGCCCATGTGTGAAGTGACATTACAAACAATATATGAGGCTAAAACGAGCTTCCTCTTGATCGATGTGCGTGCATGCACTGATTTTAACGTTCTGAATATCTTGATGTGTGTGTGTGTATGTATGTGTGTAATGATTGTGTTAGTAGTCACTGGGTAATGGGTATTCCTGTACCCATGCATCAATGATAGTGTGAAACAAATGGCATTATTATTATCATACGTTTTTGTGCAGCATAGAACAGTTCTCAGCACTCGTGATCGTTTCCATCTTGCACGCGGCACTGCCTCTTTACTTATCGGCCAGCCGTCCGCTCGCGCGCTCTAGTCCTCAAAAGAAGCCCGCTGCTTATCGATGGCTCTCCACACATCCTCTGCCAGGGAGCTGAGTGAGTCCAGCGAACTGAGCGAGCGCAGCTCCTTTTCGGACGCCACCAGGCTGCCCAGCGTTATAGCCGCCTTGACCAGCAGGCCCAGCAGCGGCAGCAGCAGCAGCACGGGGATCAGCAGCTTCGGCAGCCAGTCGTACACCGGGTAATAGTCGGTCTCAAAGTCGTTCCAGGCGCTGACGGTGGTGCTGAAGGGACTGAACGGCAGCTCACGGCGCCTCCTCCTGTTGTTTAGGTGAAGCCCGCGGCAAAGAGACAGTTCCGGCCACGCCGAGCTGAGCTTGGCCACGGATGTTCCGAGGATTTTCATACGGCAGATTCGGGCTAGAATCTTTTTGATTCGCGCTTCTAGAATCTGTCTGTTTTCAAATGTGAGCGAACTCGTTTCCTCTTTGACTGGCTTTGAGTGGTGTGGTTTCTGAGCGTCCCCACCCAACTGATGAGCGGAACGAGTCAGCGCCGGCAGTCTGGGACCGGAGCGGAGCGGTGCGTGGCCTCCGTCGATGTGTCTGTTCAATGGCTGGCTGAGGAACGTCTCGTGTTGAATGGCCGCACTGGGATTAGCGGTGGTGATGGTTCCCAGAGTGCTGAGAGTCGCCAATAGCAGCAGAGCCGGACCGAACATGACTGGGGAAAAGAAAACGGGAGGCTAGTCACCTAAAATGGCAAACATTATTCAGTGACAAAAACGCGAGAACAAATAGCAATGCATGTTACGATGTCGTGGCTCGCTGATACACCAAAATTTTCAATCTATCGTATCCAGAATAACATACAACATAGTTACAATCTGTATTCTGTGTCGGATAAGGACGCTTCAAGTTATTTTCAGTCAGCGAAACTGCGATACTGTACCGCAATGCATGCAAGGCCCCCGGCACAGCATAACTGTGCTTGGATGGAAATGGCGCTTAAAACATTGCGGAGCGAATATCATTGTGCCGAAACAATACCATGTTCCAGTCACTTGTGGATCCAGGGGGCATGCCCCCCTCCCCACGCAGCACCCAAAATCGAAGGTTTTTTATAATAAAGACGAAGATTAAACAATTCTTATAAGATAAGTTTGTTATAAGCTGCACAGCAATGATAAGGAATCGAAATCCAATGTTTTTTATTTGATTTTGTATCTAGGGTATGCCCCTGCACCGTCCAAGACCGCCTTTCTGGAACCGCCAGTGGTTTCAATGACTGCAGATGACTGCTAGGAGTGGACAAACATGACTAGCCTGAGCGATCAGCAAGTATCATCGCCTGCATCCTCATTGCTTACAAATACTTATTAACCCGCGAGTTGCTGGGGGGGGGGGGGGGGCGTTAAACGCCCCCACTTTTTTCGCCGGGCTATAGCATAAAAACGGCGCGCTGCATGCGCGCCAAATTTTAAGTACCTGTAGGGAATTGATTGAAGTTTATTGTGCAAAAGTTAAAAAAAATAGGTTGGAAAATTTTTGGGATATCGAGGTTTTAGTGACGTCATGATTTCTGAGTTTTCGACCAAAAACGACATATGTTAAAAAAATCATATAAAATCACAGAATCGACATACAGACATGCCGTAAACGCCATTAGACTGCCAATACCATGACCAATCAAATGGCTATCTTCGATTATTGATTATCGCTCCGCATTTTCCAAAATCTTAAACTGAATCTTGGCAATTTCTCGTGACCACTTCACGACCATGATACATGCATTTCTTAAATTGAGCTTTTTGAGCCAAACACGTACACATATGATAAAATGAATGTCACCATCGTGTTCTACGCTCCACATTAACCATAAAACATGTGTCACAGGCTGCGAATATCAGTTTTGATTTTCGGGGATATGTGCCTACCCGGTTGACCTGACCTTGACCCTGACCTATGCTTGACTGACTCCTACATGAAGCTGACACTCTTGTAGGCCTGATATGATGGATTGTGCACCGTTTTGACAGAGCTTATGACGAGAGGCGCCCATTGCGAAGTCCTGAAGTCCATGCTACTGAAAGCCCGATTTCAGGTGTTTGACCTGACCTTGACCCGACCTGTGACCTCAAAATTCAACTTTAAGGTACTCATCTGAAGCGCCTCGTCGCATTCTTTCGTTTGTCGCCTCGTGCGCTTCGCTGCGCCTATTGGTTCTTGAGTTATTGGCTGGGGGCGTTTAACGCCCCCCCCCCCCAGCAAACGGTGGGTGGCGAAATACCCCAGCAACTGCCGGGTTAAAGAAAAGAAAATAATTATGCTTATTGGAAAATCTTTTGTCTTTTTGGCTCATTTTCTCCAGTCAAGCCCAATTTTTGTTTTTGCGTTGGTGATTATAATTGTGAAATTTATCTATGTTATTGTGTTCCGAGTAAGTGCTTCGCTTGTCATTTGTCAATGTCAGGTTGCATTGCATTTTCATCGAATTCAATATAACTGTGCATTATGTTTTGAATCCCCACTTTTGCTGCCCCTATAGCTTATCGAACTCCGGATGCTACTCGTTCACAACAAAATGTGTTTTGCGCATGCACATACCAAAGCAGCACCCACCTGGTTTCGAGGACGCTGTAACGTTCGCTGGTGATTTCTGAAGCAGACAGCAGGTTCAAACAGACGTCCGATCCCCCTGTGCAGCACTAGAGGCAGGCAGTCCCTCAGCAGTACCTCGGGATTCTGTTTGTCGCACTCTGGTGGATCACTTTGGCACCGCCTCCCTTCCCCTGAGGCGCCCCCGCCCATCTGTACCTTTCCGATCCCTTTGATTACTCACTGGCCGCCTTTTCAGCTCTTTGACTCTGAACCCTTTATCCGGATTTCGTATAAGCTCAGCACTGTGGTTTCGTCAGTTCCTGTGTCATCGTTTTAAATCAGCCAATATGCGTTTAAGATGTTAATATGGTTTTATATTACCAAATCCACCTTCGGTGGTCACCTCCGGTGACCACACCTTTACATTAAAATATATCTAGGGAAATTCATTGTTGTTTAGTACATGTCTTCGTGTTAACATGGAAGCTTGTAACATGTGCATAAAATCACTAAAATGTGGCAACGTTGAAGCATCCCTTTACACGGACAGCATGTGATCAAGCATTGAGCAATATCAGGAGCTAAGTACCAGATGCGGCTCAAATAATTGGCCCTTATTATTTTCCTCGTCCTTATTGATCGTCTCTTATTTATTTCTGATTACCTATTCCCTTTGTTGTCGAAATCTTATTAACTTTGCACCGTTTCGCCAGGGGCAGAGCTTCCATATACATACAGTTGGTGGGGCGGCTGTCCCACCAACTTGCCATTTTGCCCTACCAATTAGCGTTTTGCCCCACCAACTTATGCTGATTTATAGGACTTTGTTGCTTTCCAAATCAATATTTTTCGCATTGAGTAGCTTTTGGAATGTCAGTGTAATGCGAAATATTATATCTGTAATGATAGGACTTAATTCAGTGTGGCATTTTATTCCACTAGCTTGACAATCGGATATTGTGGGTTTGACGAATGTTTGCCCCACCAACTTCCCTGGAGAAGCTCCACTCGTTTCCAATAGTTTCGAAAAGCTTCATATGCGTCGTATATTCCTTACACGGGAGTTTGAGACTTATAGCGCAATGTAATTACCAATACCTACGTATAGCTTGACAAACGCAATGCATACGTTTTGTCGACGACGAGCAATAAGCGTGCAGTGGTCAACAAGGACAAAGCAATGTGCTTCAGAGTTTGGCGGGGAACCAAACATCTACTTTGTTGAGTATGTAGATGTAGACCATGTAGACCTACACTGCGGTAGCAGAGCCTCCTGTTGGACTCGGTTTGCATGGCAGGGAGGACATTTGCAAAAGATGCTGTCAATCACAGGTAACTGGGAAACCGATGCCTTAAAAAAACAAAGACCGACGGAAAATTGACCGCAATATTCGGACTTTTAGACCTCGGAATTCCTGCGAACTTTCGAGCGACTTTTACATTACAGAGGCTTCATAAAACCAGCAAGGCACCGAACACATTAGTTTTTAAATGCAAAATGCAAAGTTGGTATGCTTTTAACGTCGGTAAGTATGCAAAAAGCTGGGGTCCGATTTATCATTGACACCTCTGTATTGTGTGGCTAATTAGCCTGCCACGTCTAAGGTCATGTCGCTGTCTGATCTTAGCTCCTATGTTGCTGAGTATTCTCTGGGGGGTGGGGGGGTGGGGGGGGTAATTGGCGAGGACACGTTTCAAGACCCCTTGTTTGGTTATGCCATAATGCTTGAACAGCCTGTTGACATTGAGCAGAACGGTGATCGTTTTTTTTTTGTCAATGTGTGCAACTTAGAAGTTATGTCCGTTATGCCATTTCTCTTCATTCGTTTGACGGGAATAAATCTCCACCAAAATATATTCAAAATAAGGACACAATTTTTGCTATATCCATTAGATGCTCACTAAACACCTTTACGGACTTTAATTTTCGGAGTGTAATCGCCACGCCGATTGTGGATTGCTCTTGATCGTCAATACATACATACATACATACATACATTACGCAATACGCATACTTAATGAGTGTTCAGTTATACGCGATTTCAAACCTAATCATCTGCTTTCTCCAGTTTATCTGACTTGTTTATCATCGCCAGCGACAGATTATATTGAAGTGCCACAAAAAACGCTCGCTCCGCAGCTGGACCCGGATATACGTTCCCGCGCTCAGTCTATCACCGTCCTCCCGTCCCCCTTCTCACCCCATAACACGCACACACATCCGTGTTTTGACCGGGTTGTGCTCTCGGTGCCGTGGAATGTCCATATTTGGCACGACCCCCGCGGACCCGGAGCCGGCAGGGGTCCGTTTGCCGGCGTTCAATAAACTGCTGTAGAGGGTCGCCTGAGATGTGTGCTTGCCAAACTGCTGACGAGGGTCAAATAACGCTCGCACGATGGTGCACAGCTGCCCCCCCCCCCCCTCTGACCCCCGAGCGTCCCCTGCCCGGTGACATAGATACGGTTGGCCGGCGCCGTTCACCACCTGAGGAGAGGTGGCATATCTGTGTCAAGTACCCTGTTTTGCTGGCGTTTCATTTACGCTGAACTGTGCCATGTCTGAGACTGGCGCCATCAAACGCGTTCCTCTACCCCGGTCACAGCTTGGTTTGAAAGTTACCAAGTTGGCCCGGCCGTGTAAGAATATATCGTAAATCCGAAACATAGCGATGTACTATCAAACTGCAAAGATGATAGCGGTACTGAAAGATCTAGGGTTAGACCCAGGTAAGAATCTGATATCTAACGGTTAAAGATGGTCATACTGCAGGTCACTTGATTTCTTATCGTATTGATAGAACCAACATGCGTTGAATTTGTTATCTAATCTCGTTTAAGTGGACATCCATTTTATCCCAGCCACAGCCAACAAGTTATAGGTAGGTTATAATGCTGCATTTCGCCTCAGACAAGCTTGTTTAAACCAAAATCAACGTTACATGGACTAGGAAGCTTCCTATATATGTTCCCAGCTCGTTATAGATTACTATAAGTATCACACAAATTTGGCCAACATAATTGTAAGCAATAAAGGAATAGGTATAATTCGATGGCAAGCATACAGTAAATTATTAACATATAAGGGCTCGAAATTACACGTAAAGTGAGCCCAGCTCACGGTATCTATACAAATTATAAACATATCTTTTATAAAGCCGATGACAGGATCGTAGGTGACTCGCGAGTCGCGACTATGTAGTTTTAAAAACTCCACAAAATTATAAATACATGCGATCGTTCCCTCTCCCTCTTACAGAAGACCTATATGACACTGCTGCGTATGTGTATTGTTTATGTGCTTAATGAGTTGCTTAATGCACAGAAGCTCACCCGTTATCAGCAGTCCTTGCGTTTTGTGCTTAACCCGCGCCCCGCTGGGCTATTCAGCCATACGCGCCCTGCTGGGGGGGGGGGGGGCAGATTCTGCCCGAACCGATAACTAACTTCGGTTCCGATGGTCTCTAACTTCCGAACCGATGGTCGTAGAAAGACGGGGAAAACGGCAATCGAAAGGTCTCAACAAGGCGGATCTAAAGAGCCCAAATTTTTTTGCTTAAGTAGGTCAGAGGTCAGGTCAAGGTCAGGTCAAGGGTACAAAATGTAAGTTTCTACAGTATCGGCCTTGCACCGTAGTTGCCGGAGAATGGACTGAGACTGATTGCCCAAAACGTGTTCTTAGACTACCAAGACAATATTTGTTGCATACAATGTCATTCAAAGGTCAAGGTCAAGGTCAGGTCAGGTCAGGTCAGGTCACCAAAAACAAAATATAGAAAAGGGCATGTGCGACACATGTTTTATGGGTCATTTTATTCATAGAATTCAATGGGCACACTCAATAAGTGATATGGACCACCTCTGGATGAATTTCAGGTCGAGGTCAGGTCAAGGTCAGGTCAAGTGAGGTCAAATTTTGAAGTTGGTTGTTAAGGCCTAAAAAGGTGTCTATCTGATGCAGTTTTTCACGGCGAATTGAATGGTGCTATTTTTGTTTCCGTACGAGGTCTAGAACTTCCAAAAAAATCATTTTTCAAAAATTTTGTGTGTCGTGACGTCATAAAATTTTGAATAACTCCCACATTTTTGAACCGATTCTTCTAAAAATTGGTATATAGGTGCACATAGACTACTTCTCTGACATATATTCCGGTTTTTTCGATACACTCAAAATTTTGGATTTTATAATAAATTTCCAAAAAAAAGTCAGTTTTTTGGAAAAATTTGGGTCAAAATCCAAAATTTTCAAAAAACCGAGATAGCCATTTGATAGACAAAGTAGAATCACGTATAACCTTTTTTGTTACGTCTTGATTCCTTTAAAAATGAAGATGTTAGCGGCGTTTGAAATTTTGCCGTTTTTGAGGCGAAAATGGCGAACATGACGTCACAAAAACGTCAATTTCTCAAAAAATTTCCGACGGATTTCGCTCAAATTTTCAGGGAACGTGTCAAATTGATGTATGATAAGGTACTGAAAGTTTGACGTCGCTGGCGTAACGCGTTTAGAAGTTATTGGCGAAAAACGGGAGGGGGGGCAGATTCTGCCCCCCCCCCCAGCGGGGCGCGGGTTAATTGAGAGCGGCAGTAGTAGTAATGCCACTTATTATTTCTCTGAATCTTATCGCAAAGACACAATCATCTGCCGTGCATCTTTACTCTTCATATCTATGTTTGCAGCAGCCGCAAGTGCCTTTCATGGTATGGTCAGCGTTTCTTGACTAGGGTTTGGGCAAAGGAATGCTGTCATATCTGCCATATTAGCGAGCTAGCATAGATGTCAAATAAGGTTATATATGCGTCGTTTTTTAAAGCATTATTTATGAACGATCAGTCGTGTTGCTGTTCGTGTGGCTCCGGGTTTTCCAGCAAGCACTTCATGGTGTACCTATTTAATTATGTCGGTGGAGAGTAGTTTTCTTTAAAAGGTCAACCTGTCCATAGTCCACTAAACAACGGATAACAACTAGTTGTATTACATACGCCTTTGCCGTTCCCCGACTCATAAAAGATATAAAAGCTGGATGAAGAATGCATGTCTATTGCGGCACTGACTTATGGATTGGTTCGTGGCATGGCACGTAATGGTCATGTGGCCGGCACTAATCAAGACAACATGATTCCTTTTGTACTCTACGTATCAAGGTTGTTGACGGCCGCTTGTCAGCACCGATTGTCACAAAGAACAACAGCACATCCATTACCTATTCATAGTCAACACAGTGTTCAAATTCACTCTTGAAAAGTCATTCCTAGCATTCAAGGTATGTCGTCCCTCCCATAACATTGCATTTAACAACATGTACAATACTAAGGCAGCGCCAATGAGGTCAAAGGCTGGTAAAAAAACTTTCAAACGCTCCTTATGAAGAAATAAGCTTTGTGAAATCTTCGAGTCGATATTGCAAATTAAATGCGGAGTCTGTAATTGTTTTACATTTTCTCTTTTCAAGGACGATTGCTCATTTCTATTCTAACATTTGCCTTTGATAAACCTTTATAAAGAGAATACGGCAAACGTCGGACTACTTATGCGTTATTTTTGTTACAATGTAACGAGTTAACGATTAACGATTTAACGGAATTCGTCGTTATGTACATTTCCACTGTTGGCTTGTCCTATATTTTTACAATTTCTTCCGCCGCACATACCTACATATGTGTTGTCAGTGTCTTGATTAATTAAGCGTCGCTCCCATGAATTGGGGAATCGCCAACCAGCAATTGGCAGGCCTGCTCATAATAAGTGGTCCCTGCGGAAGATCCTATCAAAGCCCTTGTCAAGGAAGGACTTCATCGCGGGCCCGCTGACTGAACTTCAGCGGAGTGGTAAAAGACCGCTGGGCCGAGCGGCCACCGCCGCGCTGGTGTTCCACAGCCGCTTGAGGTTACCGCGCGTCAGAAACGCCAGAGACGTCACCCGCTCGACGTCATAATTCAGCATCATATTTACGCTGGACGTCACACGGCTGATATCACTACATTTGTCATCAATGCGGTAAACATCACTTTCACTACCTAGCTTATAGTTCAGACGTTTAACCCAGACACTCGACATTTTGCGTTCCATTCCAATGCGTTTGACATCTCATTTTTACAACTGCTATCCACCATGTCAGATCCACCACCGTTACTGTCAAATACCAACATTGTCCGACTTTCCCACAGTCCGGTATTGTCAATGCCCGTCACTGTCCGGCACCATCACTGTCCTTTGGCCGGCAGCCATGTCCAGCCGAGCCGGGCGCGGCGCACGTCCTGCTCCAGGCCGGTGGGTCTCCGACCGTACCCGGTGGGCGCCACCACCTCCCCGCCCGCCAGGTAGGCCGCCCAGAAGCCGAACGTGCCGTGAGTGACTACTGTGTGATTACAGGCGGCCAGCAGCGCCAGATCGGCCCCGGGCCGATTCTGTACCCCATCCCCGGCGACCACAACGCGCTGAAGTCCGCGGAGGTTTTTCCTGCACCATTCCGGGTCGTCTGAGACGACTACGAACAGTGAGTTTCGGTGTCGACTTTTCATCAGCGCCACGGCTCGGCGCAGGTAGCTCACGCCGGCCACGCGGCCACGTACGCTCCGCGCCAGCCACGTGCTGTAGTCTGTGCGCCGCACGTGTACGCCGATAAAGGTGGGCGCCGTGACGGCCGCCTGATACGCCAGCTCGGCGAGTCGTAGGTCGGCGCGCTGGCGCAGCTCCTTCCGGAAGGTGAAGTCCCGCAGCAGCCGCGCGCGCAGTGGATGGAACAGCGGCACGGCGTGTGGGAAGCCGCCGATCATGTGGTTGGTGTCGGAGTCGGGCCGCTTGGCCATCAGCTCCTCAGTGGATATGGTTGTCCAGTTGACGCGGCAGCTGATGGGCAGTACCGGCACCCACAGCCGCCCGAAGTAGACGGCCAGGGTGCGCGCCATGTCCGGATGGAGCCAGGCGGGCCGGCGCAGCTCGCCGGCCGCCGCCAGTAGCGTGGCGTACTCGGACATGATGTTGCCGAGCCGGCCGGCAGAGTTGATGGAGAGCAGCCTGCTGGGTGTGGGACACCGCCGGAGCCGGCCCGGGCGCGGCACCGGGCCGGCGGGGACCGGTGCCGCGGTGCGCGGTACGGTACTCTGCAGAGCCGGCCGGGGGAGGACGCCCAGCGCCGGCTCTCTGAGCGATGTCAGCCCGATCAGCAGCAGGCCGGCTGTGGTCAGCAGCATCAGCAGCAGCAGCTGTTGGGCCGGGCGGCACCAGCAGCCGGCCAGCATCTTCAGCCGGCAGCACTGCCTCCGGGATGGAATATTTACGACTGCCGTGAGCTGGTGAAAAGATAGTGAAGTAACCAATGAGACAGACAGGTGGCTACAGTACACCCTGTTAGGTACCGCTGCGTATATAGTTTATACTTTGCTAGGAGCACTTTCGCCGCCAGTGTAAAAAGTGAACACAGCACTGTCGCTGGTAGAGGCCGGGCCGCCACTTTGTCACCGCTGCTAGCGGGGTTCGGGCACTGCGCTACTGCCGTTGTGGGGACACCACTGTCGCTTCCGGTGGAATCCCGTTCACCACCCACGCTGCTGGGAGCGGGACCACTACTGACGCCGGCGTGCACCGTCACAACCGACGAGCCACGCTGTCGCTGACGTCACACTTTTTGTTCCAAGGCTGGTCGATATCTGTTGAATAATGACATATTACGGTCAGTCTGTTGTTTAACAAGGCTGTCAGCACGTTTTCACTCGGCCTTTACCTCGAGTGTTTCCGCACCCTTGCAGTTGTTTCGTGGGTCGAGTTTTGATACTATATGTGTAAACGGTTACCAAATGATTGAAGTGAGCCTGCTATTAATTGTTAACAAATATATCAATGGTGAAGCATTAACCCTGCATGCTCCAAACCGTCTGGATATCTCAATAGCGCTTCAGACCTACTGTCTGTACCTAGTGTATAGGTATACGAAAAGTTTAAGTGGACTATTCGGTATCCTCGTATTTCTGTCTGTCGCAATTCAACCATGACGCATGGTAAACGTGAGGTGATCGTGACAAAGCATACTGAAACCATCCTAAACATTGGACATTAAAAATCGCATAAAGATCAACGAGCAAGCCCCTGTCATTCTGTGACGTTACGTAAGGGGCAAATGCCGTCATCGACCCCTATATGTTGTGTGGCTAACGATGGCTCGTAGCCAGGCGAAAGATCGTTATTCTACCGGGTGGCCCAGAAAAAACGTTCCGAACTTTGGAGGCCTATATATCAAATTCGAGTACAAATAACGAGCCAAAATTTTCATCAAGATTGCGTCATTTCTTTGCGCATTGGTATGCCAAATTATAACACTATACCATCATTTTCAAGCTGGGAATCTTGAGTTGAATTAAGCAAGACGTTTTTGCTTTTTTTGCCGATGTCAAACGATAGTGATGATTGGGTTAGACGTCCTATGTTATAAAAAAGAATAAAAAATAGAACACGTGAATGAGACCAACACGTATGTTCTTATTTTAAATATTTTTGTCTCACATATCTACCAAATATTCAAATACTGAGCCAAAATGGTGCTCATGGATGCCATTCGTTTCAACACCAAATCATGTTTCGAGCAGGAGTGACACGGTGCATGGATTACTGCTGATTACCCTCCTTTCAGTAGATCAAACAGTAAATCGACCGGATAAGGAAAACAAACTAGAGCAGACTGGTTCCTGTGCCAGAAGACCACAGAATAGCTTATGAAAAACAACATTGCCAGCAGATAACAAAAAAAAAACTGGTTGAAAAGCTACCTTTTCCCAGGAATGTCAGCCAGGAAAGCATTTGAGCCACAAGATGGTTAGAAAACTGGGAAGTTGGAAACTTCTTCCGATGCCGTTGGCACAGAGCCATCGCGGTTGCCTGAGGGAATGTGTCATCCTGAGACCCGAACCATCAATGAGACTAGCTGCCAGTAGAAGTCATGGCTCTATAGGCCGCGGTGCCGCGGGGTGAAAGTGACCCGTTCACTCACATTTTTTAGTAAACATCGGAGCAAAAAAAGTAATTTTTACATGACATGCTTGAAACACGAACCGTTTAAAAAGTAATTTACCGAACACCATGAAAATCACACCATTTACTGAAAATTTGTGCCGCATTGACTATTCGAAGTTTCAATGTTGTATCTTCATCACTTTCTGAGAAATATTGATTTAAAGTTGGGAACGTTTTTTCTGGGCCACCCGATATATTCACCCAGGTATGTTGGCTAAGAGACAATGGAGCATATATGACGATGGCAATGTGTGTCGTAAAATGTTCTGGCGGCTGCATTATTTGCAGGAACGAAAGGAGCGCATTATGCACCTATTACTCTCCATCACCAGTTTTGTCGGGTAGCGTGGCCTCTCGTGACAGGGACAAGGAAAAGTGAATTAAAGGTAGTGTGCCACCTTTGAAAGATTTCCCATTTTATTTTTCCTAGGATAAGAAGCTTCTGTTTTTACCTAATATCGCAAAAAAAATCAAAAATGGGCCTGGAACAGTGCCTTTTTTGCCTAAAGGTTTATCGGTTTTTCTATATGTATAACAACTGTAGTGGACTGACCTGCAAACAGGCGTCGGCAACAATCGCGAATGCGGCGCACATGTGACAATAAGCAAAGGTCATTATAGAGTTACGACGTACGGGGATGAGTTATCAGCTGTCTAATCGTAGACAACACAATATCGAGCCTTAAACTGTAAGCCTGTATTGGTATTGTTTCTTTTATTTGGCTGTCGAACATTATTTATGGTTTAAAATATGATTTTATGTAAAATAATTGATATGAAAAAGCCGTCTCTTAAGTTATGACCCCATTTCACCACACGCAAGTGGCAGAAATGACAATGATCAGCTGACGCATTTTTCTTGGCCGAAGTCAGAGCGCGCGACCCGACGCACCACCACCGCACCACAAAGTATGAGCAGAAGCCGCGCCCAAAGCCAGGGCCCCGGTAACGTGAGGTAGCCGAGTCGGGGCAGCGTGCGCTGACCCAAGCCGGGGCCGCAGCTTTGGGCGCGGTCTACCGCATCCCCGCGGGCAGCCCCGGGCTATCACATGACACCGGGAGGACGCGCGGCCCCGGCTTGGGTCAGCACACGCTGCCCCGACTCGGCTACCTCACGTTACCGGGGCCCTGGCTTTGGGCGCGGTCTACCGCACCACCTAACAGGCGTGTTCGCAACCGCAGGAGATGATGATGAACGGGTTTATCGAAACTTGATTGGATGAGCATATCGGTAATAGCGATTTCAGTGTGTGCATTTATTGTTCATAGTGGTGTGAAATGTGGTTGGGGTACGACCGACAACCCGTCGGGGCGAATTTCGCACTGAGGTACTCAAAATTTGAAGAATTTAAGACGTTTCTATGAGTTTTGAAGGTATGGATAAGTTCTAAAAATCCGGTTCTACTTATCTTGGCCATTAACTCCATACGGTCCAGGAAAGCTGGCACACTACCTTTAAATAGCACGTTCCAACTTCCAGTCATGCTGTGTGCTGCAGGATGTTCATAAATGAAACACATACCTTCGCCGCTCACTCGTCAGTTGTGTTGTGCGAGACTCATGGACTGCCTTAACGTCACCATTCACCAGTTGGATTGTGTATTGTATTCCATTGTATTATTGTAGTTCGTGGGGTTCTCCACAATAGCTCGTGGCCATTTCTACCCGAGTCAAAATGGGTACAGGAATAAGAGCGCACAGTCACTTAATGAAGTACGGCACCTGTGTGCCCGGCTTCTTCATATATTCACCAAGTTGTGTTATATGCGACCGATCTATTGCATCACCAGTCACCAGTTCGGCTGACGGCTGTGTAGGTACGCCCGTTCCAACCTACCATCATCAGTTGCATTGCGTATGGCCGCTCCCCACACGGTCATACCAATGAAAGTTGTGCTGTGTGCGCCCGTTCATGTCCGCTATGTGCGTCCGTTCATGCCCGCTATGTGGGCCCGTTCATGCCCCCTGCTGTCCGTATAGCCGTTCTAGCCGGCAGTCGGGGCGGTAAACATTGACTAATGGCGACCCGCGCCGAGTGCGACGGGCCGGACCGAGCCGGGCGGCCGAGAGCGCCGGGAGCGGTACCCTGGACGGGGAGCAGCAGAGGAGAGCCTGTGGCAGGCGGCCAGCGGCACTTCGGGCTCAGAAGGGCGGTGGCAGACTGCCAGTGGTGTTCAGACCCCGGAGGAACAGTGGCGAACTGCCAGCGGTCGCCCGTTCCCCCGGGAGAATTAGGACAGGCTTACCCTCCCGCCCGATGGGACTGCCCTGTACATACGATAGATACATCTGCCGACCATGACTGACACATAATGCTACTGAAGAGACAAGAGAAGGTAGATAACTATCGCATTTTTTCATTGTCATAGGCACACGAACCATAACGCCAATCATGCCGCATGTATCGTGAATGGTTAGGTATGCCACCAACCGGTAAAATGAACATAATTTCATTTTTCATTCAGAGCAGATTCGTGCGATGTCACCAAAATTACACATGTTTCTTTTTATAACAAATATAACATGCTTATAGAACATTTTTTAAAAGATATATGTCAGGTATATTTTTCGCTCGATTGTAATGGCTGATTATATCGTACAAAATTATCATGCATACCTAATCATTGGACGTATGATCTCCTAACTGTCCGGTCAGTAGGTACTTACTTCTTGCGTCATGTGCCGATAGCCATGTCGGTAACTCTTAGCTGTCAATTTGATGTTTATCGGTTCCATTTCTGTGTCGTTTTCACATCTATCCCCTGTTTTCGATCCCTCTACCCGGTTTACTCCTCACTTCCTGTTTCCCGCCCCTCCGCCAATTTTCCCATTGACATCCCATCCGCCTGTTTCCCCATCGACATCCCATCCGCCCGTTTCCCCATCGGCATCCCATCCTCCCATTTCCCCACTCTCCCGTTCGTTTCCGCCCGTTCACCTGTAGTCGGGCCGACGCTGACTCGTTTTACCCCACAGCTGCACCACAACACCGACACTGGCCGTCTGACACATGGTGAACGCTCTCCCCTCGCGACCACAGCACCACGGTCAGATAACGGACCTCCACATGCACACACACTGTGCCCCCCCCCCCTCCACACTGGCCTGATAAGCCGTCCGCAGGTAAACAGAATGGAGCCGGCATAGCGCCGAGTCAGCATGCTAATGGTTTGCGGTTTCCAATAGTACTTGATCCATCTCGGTATCTGCACTTTTATCGGTGTATGTACTAGTGATGTCAATTTCAGAGAGCATATGTCCAGTGTCTGTCCAAAGTCCAATACTTACGTCGACCGTCCGTCCAAAAATGTCCAAGCCAGCCATTTGTCCAAAGATGTCCGACATCTACGCAATAGTTTACACTCAACGCCGTTATTTAATTCGCTTTAAGTGTATCGTTACCAGCTCAAAAGTGGTAATCATATCGAAAGCTGAGCTTTCTAATAGCCAATCAATGTTAAACAGGATTACTTTATAAAAATGTTGAGGTGTAGCAAGCGATTGTCCAAAGTTGTCCAAAGCCTGCTGTCATTGTCCAACCGAATTCCGAATTGGACATTGGACAAAATCGGAATTCCGAAGATTCAAGTTCCGATTGACACCACTACATGTACATAGTAAGCGCGAAACGGACAAGGAGGCGGAAAATCGCCCTTGACATTCACTCTAACGTTTATATAAAAGATGTGACCTGAACGGATGATAAAAATTCATGAACGTAAACGGTGACGCCTAAGCGCAATGACGTAGCATGTGCGTAATAAGCTGCTTATTAAAGTCGAGCTTATTAGTCCCCATGTGTCGGCGGGTCGAGCTTTGCACAAATGACGCACGCATTCCACTCTGTCGGGGATTGTGCCGTCTATATTGGTAGTAGGGCAGTGCAAGGCCATGGGCAGTGGCGCACTCAGGGCTTCTTTGGGTGAGGTGACAGCCCGATGAGGTATAACACGCGACAAGCGAATAACACCAGTATAACGCCTTTTGGGGCGACTAACGGAGCGAGCGAGAGGGTGAGCCTTGCACGTGCGAAATTTCGAGGGGGTACCTCCAGCTGACTTGTGCACGGCACCCTACTAACCGGTCTCTAGCGATGTGCCAAATTTGGGCACAATCGGCCCAGCCGTTCTCGAGATCTGGAAGCGGCACCCTGCACGTGCGCACGTGCAAAATGGGTCCCAACTGACTTGTGCACGGCACCCTACTAACCGGTCCCTAACTGTGTACCAAATTTGAGCGCAATCGGTCGAGCCGTTCTCGAGATCTGGAAACGACCCCTGCACGTGCGCACGTGCAGCAGCGCCCCAACTCTGACACATGGATATGCAGTGCCTAGTGGGTGCCTACCTACATGCCAACTTTCAGCGCAATCGGCCAAGTAGTTACCGAGATATTGCAACAATTACAAAACGGACACCTCTTCGTTTTGCACGTGGCACGTGCATAAGGGGTCACCCACATGCATCAGGAATAGTCCAATACTTGGTAGAAGGAATGAAGCTACCCTACAAAAATTACCGCGTGTAAATCGGTCAAGTGGTTGCTGAGATATAAGCCTCGCAAAAGCGTGACCACGGCCGGCCGGCCGGCCGGCCGCTCATACTCAGAAATTTCCGTTAATCTAAGGAAAGACTACGCTCGCTTCGCTCGCTCCGTAATGACATGGCGGCGGCGGGGAGGCGGACGGCAACGCGTGTGTCGCCAGACAGACCAGGCAGAAATGGGACACAGCGTTATCGCGGGCGCGCGTCCCCTAGCCTAAGTCACGTGACCGCGACGGACGTCTTGGCTGCGCAGCGGCCGCGCGCTGGTTCATTGCCCCTAGAGGGCCAAACAGAGGAGTCATGGTACCACAAAATTTTTCGCTCGTATACGATTGGAAAAAGCTCCTAGCTGCGCTAAACGCCGATAGTGACTACCAACTATCGGGTTAGATCCAGAGGCAGGCTCCAGACAGATATTGGTCCGAGAGACCTCCGGTCCGGCCACTCAGCGCACTAGTGTTACTGAGTACCTATACCATAAGAAGCACTTAGTCGTCATCGAGCTGCAAGAGTCTTCAAACCATCACAGGTGACTGCGTTGTTACCTTTTTTACGCCGTGCCAGCCTACCCGGTCGATAAATTCGTACTGATGTCAGTATGTTACACGACTGTTTGTTTGACGTTCCACAAAGACACGCGAGTATCGATCGATCAGCCATCGTAAGCAGCGTTGTATCCATCCGCTACCATTACAAACACGATAAAATACGACAGCGGTTCAAAGTCGTGAAAGTTGAACGGAATTAACACGGAGCTGAAACGACGGCGGGATTCTGGGGAGTCATCCGGTCATGATCCCTGGAAACATGATCAATCGATTCGACAATCGCCCAAACGTATTTTCGTATCAAAACAATTTATTTCGAGAAAAGACGTCCGTTACGGAAAGCATACACAGCGTTGCAGTTTCATTTTCAGAATTCGTTCCATGAATCAGCTAGCATCCAACCCATGAGCGATGTACAAACATGTGTAAAAGTCTTCGAAATTATAGGCATGCTAAGCTTGGTTAACCCATCCTGAATAGTTGACATGTTTGGATACATTCGTCTACCGAAATAACGCACCAATTATTCGAGTTGTGAGCATATTAAGCATCCGGTCACTAATACAGTCCGGCAGTTATACAGCTGCGCGCCGGCAGACCAGCCCACACGGCATGAGACGCGTTTACATAGGGTTTGTTGAAAGCTTATATCTCCGTCCGTGATATTACAAAAGATGCCAATGGTACTTAACAATTTACAAAATGATCCCCTTTAAATATTTGAAGACCACTGCATCGAAATTATCACCAAATAAACGAGCTAGAGCCTCGTCAAAAAATGCTATGTAAACACGATTAATGGTCGCACTGGTCCGGGGCTGCAGATTGCGCTCTCCGGGGCTGCCAGAGGCGCGCTGTGTTGTTCAGTCGTCATATCCGTCACCCTGTCACCGGCGTATCACGCAAACGCTGTGCACGTCCGTGTCAACATCCTGGCACAGCTGCATCACACAACTGTGACACAGACACACGCACCGGCCGTCACGGAACCGGTACCAAGCCGAAAACCGCTGTTACGTCTATTTCAAACATCCTGCGGTTATCTCAGGTGTACCACAGCTCACCACAGCCGGTCACACTTGGCGCTTTAGCTCGGCACTGTATCACTGCAGTCCGATGTGTCGACTTGGCCGCATTCAAAGTAAGGTCTTGGGTAGTTGGGTAGATACCAAAAGCCGGTAGACACATCATAAGCGGTGTCGTCGGCTGTGGCCGCTCGGTGCTGCTACTCTGGCGATCCCACGAGTGCCGGCGGCAGCTCCGTCCCGCCGGCTGCAGCTGCCAGCAGCCGGTCCAGCTGCTCGGTGTGCCGCCGGTCAGCCGACAGCTGCGCCCGCAGCTGGCACAGCTGCCGCTCCAGGCTGGCGCGCCGACCGGTCCGCGGCGGGGTGAGGTGGACCGGAGGAGGCGGGGGCGGCGGCGCCATCGCACCGCTGGCGTCACCTGGGGGAACGGGGAGAAGCGTCAGCACCAGACAGCCCAGCTGTGTTGAATATTTTCATGTAACCACGCATACAGCTACAGACCTTCGAATATCAACAGACAAGGGCCGTACACCAGTAAACGGAGGCTTGCGATGTTTGTGTCCGAATTTTAACACGGAATTACACGCAAAATGTTACCTCATACGTACCGATACAGTCAGTCGGCTTTATACACAAACATCATACAGGCTCCCAATACCCGGCCTATCCCCAGGATCAGCAGGAATAGCGCGCCTGAAGCGCAGTGGCGCCACCTACCCTCGTCCACGAGCTCCCGCAGTCGCTGCTCCCAGTCCAGGGAGACGTTCAGCTCCCGGTCGATGTGGGTGCTGACATCTAGCGTCGGTCGACCGAAGCTGTGTCTCTCGGGTCGCCGCTTCACAGCGGGACTGACATCGACAGAGGTGTCCAGCGAGCGTTTGGCGATGGTCACCGACTCGTCCAGGGTCAGACACTCTGTGGGCGAAAGAAGTGAGAAAAGAAATCGTGTCAAAACTCCAGAGAAGAACGCCCAGTGAGAACGACGTAAAAGTATGATCTTGCTACTCTCAAGCAGCACTGTTGGCCTAATTGTCGCTTTAGGGAGGCTGAACGCATGGCCATTTCGCCAAGCAATGTTGAAGAACAAACTCAGCAAATAAAATACTTTAAAAAGAGCAGTCAACGGTGCTATTCAGTAGCTGAAATTATTCAATTGTCCCGGACCCCACAGGCGTTCCAGCCCAGTCCTGAACCTCTCCACGTACTGTGTGTAGGCGCCGCGGTACAGTTGCGTTTCATGCCTCCAGTTGAGTGAGACCAAAATAGGTGCACTCTGTCCAAGTCAACACTTGCGGTACATACTACATACCTCCGGTGTGTCCAACCAAAGTGTACTCTGTCCACACGTCCGGTACAGCTGCGGTACAGCTGCTGTACATACCTCCGGTGTGGCCGACCGAGGTGTACTCTGTCCCACGTCCGGTACAGACGCGGTACAGCCGCTGCGGTACATACCTCCGGTGTGTCCAACCAAAGTGTACTCTGTCCACACGTCCGGTACAGCTGCGGTACAGCTGCTGTACATACCTCCGGTGTGGCCGACCGAGGTGTACTCTGTCCACACGTCCGGTACAGCAGCGGTACAGCTACGGTACAGCTGCGGTACAGCTGCGGTACAGCTGCGGTACAGCTGCGGTACATACCTCCGGTGTGGCCGACAGAGGTGTACTCTGTCCACACGTCCGGCACACGGAAGTTGTCCAGCTCGTCAGGCAGGTAGTACACCTCCTCTGAGCCGCTGAGTTGGTCCGTGCGCACCTCGATACAGCACTGAAACGGTCCGCAGGGCTAAGGTCAAACCACAGCGGGCGAACATCGCGGAAAGAAAGGGTGGGGTCAGTACACAGCGTCCTTAAGGAGTGTTTACAAATAAACGGTGAAACGGAACAACGATCAGATTCTCCACGCTAGGGTAAGTACGCTTGCAGAAAAGTTGTAGCGCTAAGACAGAGTGATTGGCATTCCTCAGCAAAGTGCCAACGTGCTGCAACCAATGTCGGTTAGCGGAGGTGAACGGAGCGCGACTCGTACCTATACGATGTCAGTCCAGAGGAAGCTGGCCGACAGGGGCTGGTCTCGTACCTGTATGATGTCCGTCCAGGGCAGACTGGCCGAGAGAGGCTGGTCGCCGACGTCTTTATCGAGCGGCCAGGCAGCGCGACGCAGCAGCTGCAGGCGGTCCCGCAGCAGGCTCCGGACCCTGGTGGTAAAGGGAGGAAGGTTAGAGAGACATCATACAGCAGCTGCAGGCGGTCCCGCAGCAGGCTCCGGACCCTGGTGGTGGGGAGAGGGAGAGATCAGAGCGACATCACACAGGCAGCTGCAGTCGGTTCCGCAGTAGGCTCCGGACTCTGGTGGTGGGGAAAGGAAGGTCAGAGGGGGCATGTCACAACTCCGCTCAGCTAGTGCAACTAGGCAGTAGACTCCGTACCCTGCCGGTGGGCACAGCGGGGTTTGTGAGGACACCTTATTACAGCTGTAGCCGGTCCCGACAGCCGGCCGGCCAGCGAGCAACCCCTACCGACCCGTCCATTGTCCACTGTACAGTGTCCCTATACTGACCTGTACAGAGCCGGCGTGCCGTCTGCGTCTCTATACGACAGCCGATAACTCCATGGCCTGCTACTGATCCGTACACTGTTAGTGTACACAAAGTGATGTCCCCTATAACTGACCTGTACAGAGCCGGCGTGCCGTCTCCGGCCCCATCCGATAACCGTCCGACGTACTGCAGCACCTTGGCACAGCACTCTGTCCAGCTCCAGTCGACGTCCACGTCCAGCGGGGGCAGCGAGAGAGCGCTGACCTCCTGGGGGACAAAAGGTCAGGCCACAAGTCAGGCCACAGGTCAGCGGGGGTAGCGAGAGGGCACTGACCTCCTGAGGGACACAGATCAGGTCACAGGTCAGGTGTTCAGCGCGGACAGCGAGAGGGCAGGGGCGTCCTGGGGGCAAAGAACAGGCAAGTGTAATTATGTAGACAGTACTTGTTCAGGGAAGGAAGCCAGTCCAGGGTTCAGACGTCAGATGGCAGGCCACATTATCACACACATATAAATAAAGCAGAGCAGTGATCGCTTTTGTATGTGGATGGCTGTTTTTTCGCTGATTCCCACCCATCCATCCATTCTCGGTCTCACTGCTTCCCTTTCCGTCCAGTGCCGACACTCATCATTAATTTGTGGCAACTTGTAGCTGTTGATACCCGTGCGTCAGCGCATGAAATATACCTTCGCCCCCGGTCATTTATTCACCCACTGCTCTATTCGGCGCTCCATTCATTAGGGGTGTTTTGACAACGGATTCTCGCGGTGTTCATTCATTCATTCGCCCGTTCCATTCACCATTCATGCAATCGATATTCCTTCCGTCTAGCCCTTGGCCGACGTCATACGGTCAATCATTCATTCTCGGAACTCGCACGTTAATAATCCGCGACGACGGCTATAACTGACCACATCCATGAGGAAGAGCATAAGTTTATCCGTCATCCATTCGCCGACAAGTCATGAAAATGCTACTACCCAGCCAATCACAGAAGTCCCAATTCCAGCTTTACCGTTCCATCCACCTCAGTTCCACTGCTTTTTGATCTAGCAGTCCCCCCCCCCCCCTGATAACCCCATCGCCCGGTCTAGCAAGCCCTCTAATATCCTTCCAACTAGTCCAGCGAACCTTAACTACTCTCCAGTCCAGTAGGACCATCTGATGCCCCCCCCCCCACTCCGCGGTCCAGCTCACCTGCTGGATCCGCAGCAGCCGCTCGGGCCGGTTCCAGCCGGGTGGCGGCAGGGCCGACTCGGGCCGCTGTGTGCCGACCCGGTCGGTCAGCTCCACCAGCTCGGCCGGAGGCCAGGAGAGGTCCGGCAGCGAGCCGCTGCTGAGCACCGCAGACAGGTGGCGAACGGCCGCGTTATACAGAGAGACGGCCGCCACCGGACTCTGAAACACGGTATAACACAGCGGTTTTCAGCGCTACGGCGGCCAGCGGACTCTGAAACTGGGGGACAGCAGAGCTTTGATATAGAGCACTACGGCAGCCACCGGGCTGTGGAACACGGCGGTTCTGACGTGTCAGATTGTATTTTACTCGAGGTCTCGGGACCTGTCCCTGCAAACACTCGTGCCTTCCGCCTTGCATAGTGTGGCGTACCAAATTACGTAAGAAAAACTTTTATCCAAATCATTAATATCACTCCGAATTCGATGTTATGATTTGCGTATTTTAGGAGACACCTGAGACACAACGCGGTCAGGCAGCGAGAGATCATGGCGGTATACCACGCCATCCCGCAGTGGCTTCCCCCACCGACCATGACTGACCTGTTCCACGCGCTTCTTGTTCCGCCGCGCCTGCAGGTCCGTATAGAGCCGCCGGGTCACCTGAACACCGAGGAAGTCCTGCGCCAGGTGACGCAGCCGGGCGGCCCGCAGCGGGGGCGGGGTAGGACGGTGTTCAAACAGCCACTCCAGCGCCGACACCAGCTGTGAGCAGAACGGGATGGGCGGAGGGTATACAGGTCAGGACGAATGGTAGCACCGGAGTTGGCGGACGGGTACCTTTTGGAAACAAAACCGTCACCCAAAACAAAGGATTTATATCACCGTGAAATTAGATATGACCAGCTGATCATGTCACAAACTATCTCATTTCAACTATCAAGTACCGAGTAGCAAGCGAAACAAAAGGCACAAGCGGTAAGCTAGAGCGACGGCACGCCGGAAAACGGGACTCAGTCACCAGTTCCGTAATTTCCCATGGCAGCTGATACAGCCTCTGTGGAGCCTATCTCCCTCATGCCTCGTCCACTAACCGTCTCTCCGCTCTGCACCCCGTCGCCGGGCAGCAGCTCGAACAGCCGGTAGGTGGTGACGGCGCCGGCCGCCAGCCGCTCGGGCAGCCGCAGCTGCGCCAGCGCCGCCCGCTGACCTCCCGCTTCCACCAGCACGGCCAGCGGCAGCAGCGGCTCGCGCGGCAGCTGGTCCAGCAGCTGGTGCAGCCGGCCGGCCGACTCGGGCCCCGAGTAGGCCAGCAGGAGTCCGGCGGCGCCGACCGCCTCTGCCGGCCGGCCCTCCAGCTGCCGGACACAGACGGAGAGCCGGCCGCCGCCCGGGAGCCGCACAGACTCCCGCTGCAGAACCTGGAGACGGGGACCGGGCAGGTACGTGCGGGGGAGCTCAGACTGCTGTGTAATAAGAAACACCGTAGCAATTGATAAAAACGGTAAGCAACTATGTGAACGACACAAAACCCAGTCGTGCTCGCTCAGCCCTCATCATCCCAGCTGACAAGCCTGTTAATGTCATAAGGTTTCCCTCTGTTACGGGTTACTAAGCCACATTCGTAAGATAGTCTCAAATAAAAGTCCACTACTAAGGGCAGCGGAACTAGTTATCCCCTCTCCCAGCGTACTCACGCCGTCAGGCAGCTCCACCGTCCGTCCTCCATCAGTGTCCAGTTTCCCTAGCAGCCACTGTGTGAGCGGACACCCGACCGGCGCGGGCACGGCCAGTTTCCACAGCAGGTGGCCGCCGGAGGGGACGGCTGCACGGCCAGAACGGGAGAGCACAGCGGCCACGCTCACCGGCTGGGTGGAGAGACGGTCGTGCAGCAGCAGACTGCACAGACTGCCGTCTGACGGAGACAGATTGGGTGGAGTGAGTCAACGACAAACTCAGATACGGATAGACTGCATGGATACCAGTACAATTTTCGAAAACAATTACGTGTGATCGATAGAAAAAAACGACTGAAAGATTTCAAAACGATTCCATGAATCATCTCGCAAAGGTGGAAGTTGACGGATTACTTATCTGTCTAGATGTCATTGTCGACATGCTGGGAGCAAGGGCCGGCGGGGGTGATAACTAATGTCTAGAGGTGAGCGAGTGAAAGGGTCAGGGACAGTAGATACTCCAGAGATCCCGCCCAGAGATCGGCGGGAGGGGAGCAGGGATCGGTGGGGCGATGGTTTACCTACCCAGTACCCAGAAGTCGGCGGGAGGAGGGTTTAGGTAGGTAGGTAGGTACGCTAATTCACCTGCCCAGAGGTCGGCGGGCGGAGAGTGGGAGCAGGGGCCGGCAGGGGCAATAATCTACTCGTACCTGTCCAGAGGTCGGCGGGCGGGTGCGGCGGCTCCTTCGGCCCGCCCAGCAGTCGCAGTGCAGTCGCTGCGTCGTGCAGCGGGCGTCCAGCAGGGAACAGACGCTGCTCGGCCCGGAGACGACGGCCGTCCTCTGCCGCCCGCCGCCAGCGGCCCAGCATACGGCGCAGGGTCAGGCGGTGACCTGGGGAGGTCATATAAGGTCACACTTTGACCTGACCACGCTGGCAGCGGCCCAGCATACGGCGGAGGGCCAGACGGTGACCTGGGGAGGTCAAATGAGGTCACACTCTGACCTGATATAACAGCCAGCGGCCCAGCATACGGCGCAGGGTTAGACGGTGACCTAGGGAGGTCAAATGAGGTCACACTCTGACCTGATATAACAGCCAGCGACCCAGCATACGGCGCAGGGTCAGACGGTGACCTGGGAGGTCATATGAAGTCAGATAAGGTCGCACTTTGACCTGACCCCGCCGCCAGCGGCCCAGCATTCGGCGCAGGGTCAGTCGATGACCTGGGAGGTCACACGAGGTCACACTCAGATCTGACCTTGCCGCCAGCGGCCCACCATTCGGCACTGGGTTAGATGGTGACCTGAGGAGGCCAAACAAGTCAGATAAGGTCACACTCTGACCTAACCCCACCGCTAGCGGCCCACCGGCATCCCGCACAAGGTCAGTCGGTGACCTGAGGAGGTCACATGAGGTCAGATTCGGATCTGACCTTGCCGCCAGGCTGCGGCTCACCATTCGGCGCTGGGGCAAACGATGACCGAGGGAGTCATGACAGAATCCAGCACCTGTTTTCCTGTCAGTCCAATCCGTCCAGACTCAGTCACTCTTCTAGCACCTGTACCAGGCAACACCCACTCACCGATCTCTGTGAGTGTCTGGATGAGTGCCTGTCTCTGGCGGCGGCACTCGGCCAGGACCTCCTCCGCGGTGCGGCGTGCCAGCCCGTCGGCCCCCTCCGTCCAAAGTCGCAGGTGTATCGCGGCTACCGCACTGTCAGACATGAAAAGTAAGTGAGTTTCGATGGGTGGCTTCGGTCAATGGATCTATGAATTGCGATACCTCCTGAATGTCCGATTAATATCTCAAGAATATCTCAAGGATAAGGATACTGCAAGGATTATGACCACAATGCATTATTTCTAATGTCAGCGTAGGTCCAGTCGAGTCAGTAATGCTGCCGTCATGTAGTGAAAGAACGAAAATCATTACTTTGGATTTTCTAACAGCAAGAAATGCCCTCCTATCAAACAAACCTACATAACCGTACGCCGCTTCCATGCCACACACTGAGAGGCCGGCCTCACCTGTGTTTGGCCTGCACGGTCAGCATCTCCTGTTCGGCAATATCGGCCGTCTCGTCCAGACACACCTCGGCAATCAGCGTCTCGGTGAGCACGGAGCTGAGACGGTCCTGCCGGGGGAGGGAGTACGCTGTCAGCAAAGCACGGCGACGGGAACGGATAGTCAGGTGGCTATGAGGATACATACTACTGAAATCGACGGGCTTTAGAGCTGACAATTGAAAATTCAACGCTGAAGCCAAGTCCCAACAAGCATTCAGGACTGCACACTTTGATGATTCATTCAGTCCCACACCATGGCGACCAGTGCCCGATCAGGCTAACTAATAAATCGGTCACTAATTCCGACCTCCCTCCTACCAGCTGTACGGACGACCACTTCTCCTCTCACCTTCATCTCCTGATCTCTCCTGGCTCGCTCCTGCTCCTGTATCTCTCTGGCGCGCCGCTCCTCGGCCTCCCGTCTCCTCTGTTCCTGGAGCTGCTTCTGCTCCTCCTGGAGTCGACGCGCCTCCACTAGCTCCGACTGGCTCACGCTCCTATACAGATAAGACACAGATCGTCAGACCCCTCGCATCCAAGGCAGGAAGATGTAGGTAACAGTGTCAAACAGAAAATGGACATCAACTATTCAGTCTGCAGTGCAAAATATGGACACTTTAACGGCATCATAGACCACAAAAATTTCACAATGATTAATGATATAAACAGCATCGAATCACTGCTACAAAAACATACAGTGAATCGCCCTTCTCCAGTCACCAGCCCTCCCTCCTACAGATCACTCACCTGACCATCTCCTTGACCACCTCGTCCACGGTCGCCTGGAAGAGCTGAGCGCACAGCTGGCGTGCCGCGGCCGCGGCCGCCAGCAGCTGCTCCGCCTGGCGGCGGGTCTCCTCAGTCACCACCTCAGTCACCAGCAGGCCGGCCGCCGCCTCGGCCGCCCGCTCGCCATCGTCAGCCGGCGGCGGAGCGACCTCCGCGGCCAGCTCGACCCCGCCCTGGTCCTGCGCGTCCCACGCCGTGCGGCGCAGCACGCCATGTGCGTCGAAACTGTCGTGCGGGCGGTAGGAGGGTAGGGGATCGGCCGGCAGCGGGCCGCCCTGGATCGCCTGGCCGATGCTCAACTCTCGTTTGGCGTCGATGAGCGTCGGACACTTGCGCAGCTCGGGCGGTGTGTCGGGCACCTGGAACTGCACTCGCTCGAGGAACGCGGTGCCCTCCTCGGACTCGATCCCGTGCTGGCGTAGCGCGGAGGCACACTCCTGCTCGCTCTCAAAACCGAGCATCTCCTGCAGCTGTGTCAGTGGAAACTGCCGACAGACGAACGCACGGACGAGTGTGAGTGCTGGCATACGATCGGAAGAGCAACAAATAACAGGAAGGGTATCACATTTGGACAGACGACTGGGTGAGGACTGACATACAGATAGACTGAGTGCGACTATGCTATGCTTTTGTTGAGGGATGCTGACATCTTGGTCATGGCTATTGAATGAGATCGAAAATCGAGAGTAATAACACATCATAGGCGGGTCCATCGCCTCCTTCGGACTTCCCATCCACGATCACCAGCATTAAACCAGCTGCTGTCGGCATATCAGACAATTCACCCACTCGACTTGCCCACCAACAGCTATCCCACCGGCAGCCTCCCTGACACCGGCCGGGCGCGTCCAAACTGGAATCGAAACTCCCTACCCTCTCCGTACCCTCCCCAGCATCTTACCTCAACGACCGCCTTAGCCGGGCAGTAGGTGCGCGTGATGACGTCCAGGGCGCGCGTGCGGACCTGGTTGAAATAGCGCTGCAACAGGCACGAGGCCAAGTAGCCGGCGCGGCGCACCAGCTTGAAGAAGCGCACGTAGTTGTTTGAGGAGAGCGCCACGTACAGTCGGAGCGCCGCCTGCACCTCGGGCGACTCACGGACCTCGTCACTGTACGTCTGCGCCTCCCTGCAGGGCAGCGGTAGGGCAGAGAACGCGGTTATCGCAAAAAGGTGCTAATCACTGAACTGAAATAATAACATCCAACGTGTAGAGGTCAAGTAGCATGGTCATGTCCAGATCTCTATGCCTCCTTGAGAAAATATATATGAATCTGTCTCCATCTATATTCTACATCCATCTCTATCTCGTTGACGACTGAGCGAGAGGATAATCCTGATCGCTGATGATGTCTTCCTTGTGATGGTGAGCGGCGAGCGGGTTGATGCCCCACCTGATCATGTTCCCCTGGTCGGGGCTAAACGAGCTGCTGTCCTACCTGAGGGTGTCTCCCTGGTTGAGGTTGAGCAGGATGTCGTAGGCTCGAAACTCGGCCTCTCGCTCACACCGGACCCCTTTCAGGGACAGGTCGTGGTACATGTGCTTCAGAGTCTGAAACATACGAACAGATCAATGGACACCGCTGCTCATTCATGTAAATCAGTAAAACAAACAAACTCGGTCTCAAGCAGCAATGTTGTAAATGGAAGCCTGTGGACACTGAATATACAAGACTAGGGAACCTAAAGTCTACACAATTATGATTCAAATACCAGCAATAAAGATATGAAACATCAGAGAACAAATTAACCTACTTTAACCCTCGCCCTGGCAGGGCATTTTTCATAACACGGCCTGGCAGGGGGGGGGGGTCGATGCGACCCCCCCTCGCGATTGGCTCCTATGGCACCTAGAAACACCAAATTTGGTAGGTAGGTGGGCCCCCTGGAGTTCTCGCCCCTGTGCAAATTTGGTTGCTCTAGGTCAATATTTAGGGGGGTTTTTGGGGGTATAAATGTAAAAATTTCGCTAAAAACAGGTCAAAAGTTTTTCGCTTATAACTTTTGATCTAATTAAGATAGAGCAAAAAGAAAAGCACCAGTGAACTCAGCACGTCAAGGCGCGTCGAATGATATACTTTTTAGCATGCTTAAGTGTACCTAAAGTTTTTCTTAAATTTTAAGTAAACTTAAATTAATAAATTAAGTTCAAGTTAACCAAATTGCATCATATCGCATATCATTCGATTCGGCTGATCACCAGGAACACAATGATACCATTTTTTAAGCTCTAGCGTCATTATGTGCCAAGTTATTGGCAAAAACGTCATTTGACCTCATTTGACCTCATTTGACCTGACCCATGGATAAGTACACCAAACAAAGAAGCACCAAGTGACCTGCTGTTAAGTACCGTGGTTTCAAAGCACAAAAGTGATAGAACGAAGCGGATATCTCCAGTATTTTCCGAATTTAGTATTTTCCCATAGGCTTAACATTACGACGTAGTGACCTCTAACTGACCTCAGGTCAGTGACCTCAAAAAAGCCGGACTATATGTTATACAACTCGGTGAACTTAGCACATCCTGGAAGTTTGAAGGAAATCAGTCGAAAACTGTGAGTTGGACAGGTGCAAAAAGAAAATTGAAATTTGACCGTGACCTTGTACCGGTTTTTCTGACCTGGTGACCTGACCCAAGGTCACCCGGACCTGAAATTTTCAGGTCATATGTAAAAAGGTTGCCCCATAGGCTGTGCCAAATTTGGCGGCGCTGCGTGCCGCCGTTTTTACGCTATCTTCGAAAAACCTTAGGGGGGGTCGCATCGACCCCCCCCCCTGCCAGGGCGAGGGTTAAAAGGTGATCAGAGCAGTCCCGTGAGACCCCAACCCGGCCACGTCCAGCTAACCGTCGCACCTGCAGACACTTGGTGAGATTCTCGTTGTTAATCTTCTGATCGAACATATCACGAGAGAGCTCGCAGAGCGCGGCGGCGCAGTGCACGTGGAAGCGGGCGCACTTTTCCACCAGTCCGACCGAGACCTGATCGGTCAACTGCTGCTGGGTGATGTCCTTTCGGATGCCACGCGTACGATCCCAGATGAAATGGAACCTGTTCAAAGACAGGGGAGATTGTCGCGGATGAGTACACCGCAATGAGTTCGCAGTGGCAATAAAAAGATGAACAAGATAGAATAGGTGAGAAATGAACACAGTCGAATAGGTCTATATTCCGTATCGAAAATAAAACAGCGTGCCCGACACCGACACCCAAAATGAATAAATAAGTTGCTCCAGATTGGTAGTGGAAATAAGAGATGAATTCATCACTCATGCATCTATACACACACCAACAACCAGCCTAGTGCCCCGCCCGTCTCGCTCGCCCGCTCTCACCAGTCGCCGGTGTCCCTCGTCTCGGCGTCGGTCACGTGTGTCACCAGGTAATCCATGGTGCGCAGCAGGGCGGCCGGCGTGCGTAGCTCGTGCGGCAGCGGCTCCTCCTGGTCAGCGGAGCTGCGAGAGTACTGCTTCACCGCCAGACGGTGGTCCATCTCGAAACCGCCCTGCAAGTGAAAGCAGTACGTAATTCGCTAAATGCACGTAGAACGCAGCATAAGAGCAACACCATTTATACGCTTTGAAAACGCAATGAATATCATCTCTTTGCAACACAGATCGAAGAAAGAACTTTTTGTTCGGTTCTACTCTGGACATAACATATCTGCAAATCATTTAATAGAAGTTGCAGCGAGGCAGTTTTGTGACACAAAACACAACCACCTTTGTTTGGACGTCAAGACTATGCAGTGTGCATTGTGGACTGACCTGCCTGTCTCGGTCCCGCTCGTACTGGCCGCTGATCTGATGTTTCTCCTCTCGCATGTATCGCTCCTTCTCAGGACACATGTCGGGGCAGGTACCGACCAAAGGGCCGGAGCGAGCCGGACCCTCGCGACGCAGCGCTGTCGGCCGGAGACACACAACAGGTCACAAACACGACGTACTAGCAATCGGTCCGGCCCATTTGTGGCCCAAACAGAATGTGGTTCGGGAGTGGAAGGTTATCACCGTCTACATGGCTAGTTTAACAGACTAGGCAAGCATAGAACACTGTCTCGCTGGACTAGAAAATTTATCCACAAGTCTGAAATGAGCAGTTAGTGAATCCTGGTATGTCTCCTGTGCTTATCAGCGATTACCTTCAGGACCACTTCCCCAAACTACCATGCCCTTCATCATCCACAAACACCGACTGCCCTCAATATCTCCACTTCTTTTCCATTATCCAGATTCTCCCCTCTTTCTTACTGCACCGCCAATCTCAACCTCTCCCCGACTGATCTTCACTCTTTCGTCCTCCTACCGACTGCACAGCCCTTACTGACCTGACCTCAATCCTCTCTACCTACTTAGCCTATACTCCCTTCCCTTTACCCTCCCCACTGACCTGCCCGCTGCAGTTTATCCCTGGCGTCCAGCACCCTGAAGCGGTCACTGGCCGAGGCCGCCGGCTGTCGCAGCACCGCCCGCAGTTCGGACACGTTCACAGCCGCCACGGGCGCTGCCGCCGCCGCCGGGACTGCAGAAGGCGCCGGAACGGTGGCCGTGGCGGCGGCAGGGGCACGGCGGGCCTTGGGCTCCGGCGGCGCCTCAGGACGGCGGGGTTTGGGTTCCGACGGCAGCTCGGCACGACGAGGCGGGTCTCTGGTGGTACATGGAGTAACAAACGTTAGCGAGGAAGTGCCACATAATGAGGGAGGTAAAATAGTAACGAGCTACAGCAACAGCTTGGTAGTTCGAAACGACTGCACTTTCTATGGCTGGTGATGGTCAGATTAGTATTCTTCTTCCCAGTTACGTCACCCAGTCTTGTATTTCTGGTAGCGATTAGAGCTCGCTAGCCATGTGCCTAATACAAATTGTCATGTGCCTTGCCTACCAGGCACTTAAACACCCTCAGACACTCCAATCCCGACATTGTTTCAGACTATCACCAGCTCTTCCCTCAACGACTTCAATGGGTTCAGCAGGCGCCCGGCGACTCACCGAGTGTCGCCAGTGCCGGCCATGTTCCGCAGCTCGTCCGAGACGTCATCGTCGAGCGGCGGCAGCGGGCGGCGCGCCGGCTCGGCCGCCGCGCTCTTCACCGGCCGCCGGAAATAGAGGCTCATCGGCGGCAGCTTCGGGTGGACCCGCGCGCCGCGCCTCTTGGCGGCGTCGGCGGCCGCCTGTGGGTGTGATGGCCGGTCAGGAAGCGAGTCAGAGGTCACGGTAAATGCGGGCCGTGGCGGCAGGTCAGACAGCGGATCGCAGTCCAAATGTCACGGGCCACGGGTACACGTCAATGGCGACGGGGAAGCGAGAGGTTTTAAAAGCTTTACGCAATCGGAGACTTCCAGTCGCCGGTTTTAATTCAGTTCGAATGTTTTGAAGAAACTGATTGACGACGTTACATTCCACGTGTACCTAATTTCCAATTAGGTATCGTTACTCGACGCCGTAGGACTCACATGGTCGGCAAAATGAATGGATGCCGTGTTCTTGGCCTTGTTGCAGGTAACTTTGACGACCTGGCCGAACTTTGAGAAGTGTCTGGTGAGGATGGTTCGGTCGTTGTTCCCCTCGGGCACGTCGGTGCAGAGCAGTGAGGTCACCTGCTGCAGCTCCTCGGCAGAGCTGAGACGCTGCACGCGCGGGCCCGCCGGACCGGTCACTGCCGGAGGGAAGGGGTTAACGCGTGTTATGTCCACGCCGTGCGATTTGAAGCTACCACTGGGCTCTAAGCATCTAGAAGTATAGCAACTGGTACTTTTTCCATGCAACACAGGTAGCATTGGAATTAAACGTTGGTAAAATAGGTATTTTAACACTCAACCAGTGAAAAACGCCGTTAAACAAGCTATATGTCCACTGAAGCTCGGAAGAGGTGGCAAATTACGTGACGTGTCCTGGCATAAAAACACTAAACCTTAGCACAACACACATCAATGGTGTAGAGATTAGCACGCCTCGCCATTTGCCTCACCTGGCGACTTGTCGACAGTGCGGACCTCAGGCGGTTTGCCGAACAGTCCGGTGCGGGCCAGCGAGCGCCGGCTGGCCTCGGTCAGGCTGGTGGCCGGACGGCGCTTACTGGTCGGCGCCGGGCCATCCGGCTGGGTGAACACTGAGCGCAGCCGGCCGGAGGAGGACGCAGCGGCCGGCTCCGACCTGCCCTCCTTCCCGAACAGAGCGGGAGCAGAGCCCGCCGACCCGCCCTCCGCCGCCTTCCCGAACAGGCCGGGTGCTCCCGCGCCCGCCGAGTCCACGCCGCTGGCGGTCTTCCCGAAAAGGCCAGGTGCAGCTCCGGCGGGCCGCGAGGACGGCGGCGCGGCGGCATCCGTTTCATCCGTGTCCGCTGACGGCGTCCGCTTTGGTTTGCCAAATAGACCCGTGGTTTCACTCGAGGTCTTTCCAAACAGCGGTGCAGCAGGCGGGGCATCCACACCAGAGGCTGACGTTGTCTTTTGTTTGCCAAACAGACCAGTACCATCAGCAGCTTTACCAAATAGTGAGGCACCTGCAGCAGATGACGAGCCAGCAGATCCTGCACCTCCAGGGGCCTTTCCAAACAGTGAGGGACCATCTGCAGTAGCAGCACCGTCAGGCGCCTTCCCAAACAGCGAGCCACCAGCAGGATCTGCACCACCAGCACCCTTCCCAAACAGAGAGGTGCCTGCAGAGGCCACTGAGCTGGCACTGTCAGTGCCGCCAGCTCCAAACAGGCTGCGTATTGTCGAACCAGCCTGATCAGCAAATGTGGAGGCTGCCACTGAGTGTGCAGCTCCTGAAGAGGGCTTGGCTTCAGTTGAAGACTTTCTTGTCCCCAGAGTGGCACCAAACACTGGTGCAGTTGGCTGGAACCCAGCTGAACCTGGGCCTGCAGCTGAACCAAAAGTAGTGCCAGCTGATAGACTGAATGCTGGGGCAGCAGTACTGGGTGGCTGACCAAAGGCTGCCCCAGAAGATTCTGACTGTCCAAACACAGATGAGCTTGAAGGTGGCTGATTTTGACTTCCAAATGTTGGCATGCTTGTAGGTGCTCCTGCACTGGGAGTAGGTTGCTGGCCAAATGGATTGGATCCAATGCTCTGGCTGTTCCCAAACACTGCACCACCCGGTGCTGGGGTGGAGCCAGCTGGTGCACCCCAGCCAGCAGTGGTAGGGGTGTGGCCAAATAGCGCGCTGGGCTGGCCAAAAGTTCCGGGAGCACCTGTGGCCTGGCCAAACACTGCATTGGCTGATGCAGGTGGCTGCTCACTGCCTGTAGTTGAGCTGGGAGGCTTCGGAAAGGGGTAGGGTGGCGGGTTGCCACCACCTCCCCCAAACATGATCCAATATCTAAAGGAAAAAGATGCCTGTTAATGATCACACCAACAGTACCTACCTAAGGAATCAAAAAGGGGAACCCCAACACATTTCAATTTTACTGATAAATTCAGCTTCGTTCAGCCAAGCTTTGCAAAATGAAGCTTTGGCAGACACTCAACAATGTTTTACTTTATGGGTCTGTTCCAGCGCCTCCAGAAACCTCCAGAAAGCTCCAGAAAGCTCTAGAATCCTCCAGAGAGCGTTCCAGCGCCTCCAGAAAGCTCCAGAAAGCTCTCGCCAAAGCTCCAGAAACCTCCAGTAGCCTCCAGAGAGTTGGGAGGTCCAAATTTCTCTGGAGGCTCTGGTCTACAATTATGGCGCACATGTGACAATCACGAATGTAAACAAAGGACTTTCGACTGATTATTTTACAACTTGAATGTAAAGAAAATTACATTGCTATAATTTTGTTTATCTTTCTTAATAAAACTGAAAACAAATTTTGCATTTCAAGAGAGAACAATCGACCTTCTTTTGGTATCTGTGATGCCAATCTCCAGAAATCTCCAGATTGCGTTCCAGCGCCTCCAGTGAAACCTCTGGTAGAGCCTCCAGTCAAGAATTTCTACTGGAGGCGCTGGAACAGGCCCTATGATTAATAAATACAATCCAAATCAGCATTGTCATGCTTTATTGATGGGCATGCCCTTGCAGATCTTATTTCAATTTTGGATTGCTTTATAAGGAAGATATGAGCAATCAATCATCTGTCTTTTACTGAGGTTACCTCCACCTTTTTCTTGTTGATTGGCGTTTCAAAAATTATTTCCCAGGTTGCGGCTTGAAATATATAGGCAAAATTATATTCCACATATATTATTTACAGACATCAAGCCTCATGTAAATGATGTGTGTATGGTGCATAGAAACCATCAATGTAAGCCAATTACGTCACATCGTTACACCAATCACATTTCAGATCTTGTTCTCTGTACGTCATTGTTTTTCGCAATATCCCTAAAATATTAAGTTTTGCAATATATTCTATATTTGTTTTTTAAAAAAATTGAGAAATGAACTGTATTTATTGAAATAAAACATTGATTTGAACGAATAATGTTGTCAGGACAATAAACATATGAAGTTAAATAGTTCCAGGGTTTCAGCAAAGTTTTCGAAAATTGGCGGCAATTGCGCCATAGTTGTAGACGATGATATTTTTTCACAGAAGTGTAGTGTTTGGAACGATTAAAGTGTTTTTCCTTCCTTACTCTGGGATTATTTTTACAATTGAGGTTTCCAAAATAATCAGTATTGCTTGAAGTGTTGGTTACACTTTTTATCTTGATTTCTGAAGCACAGGTATGCGAGTATTTAGGTATTCTTATAGTATAGCAGGCGTCTCTGGCACCCGAACTGCAACCCGTTTCAGTTTGGGAAAAGTGATATTTAATTTATCCTATTTTGTTTTCCCTGCCGATTCGTGTTGGTCGCTGTTGAATTGGATGAAAGAAAGAAATTCACAACATTACCTATTTGTCTTGTAATCTGCAATTTTGATCTGCAATTTTGACAGTGTCTGTAGTTCAAGTTTTAAGGCTCAGTTTGTTTCTCAGTTCAGTGTATTAAGCTTGTCAATGTCAATGTAGTGTACCTACCTAGTAACAGCTCGGGCTTCATGCATGAGGCACAGTATAGGTAGGTACTGTATGCTGTACAGTGTACAAGTACCTAATTTGTGTTTTCAGTCATGGTTATGCTTTGTTTCTGTATCTTAGAAACAATTTGCCAGATTACGATGAAACTTGGAATGTATCGTCACAATGTATCGTCATTCTTGCAGCTGCAAGTGTATCTTTTGTTTAAGTTAGTTTAAGTTTAATATAGTGAGCTATGGTAGACAGGGTCTATTCGGTGCTCACTTCGAGCATTAAACTGGGCCAGACTGGGTAACTTAGGTACTGTGGATGTTAAAGAGAGAGGATAGCGCCGTAGTGGTCCTGAGCTTGTCTAGCCGGTTCTTGAAAGTGTTTGTGTTTTCAGACATTATGATCTCCTGAGACAGCTTGTTCCATGCTGAGACTACTCTGTTTGCAAAGAATTTTGCTCGAGCTTGGGTCCTGGACCTCCGTATCTCAAGTTTGAGCTGGTGACCTCTGGTCGTCCTTCCGTGGTGGCTAGTGAAAAATTGACCTGGGCGTACGTTCAATTTCCCCTTAAGAATCTTAAATGTTTCTATCAAATCTCCTCTTCTGATCCTTTCTTCCATACTTGTCATGTTTAGTACTTTCAAACGTTCTTCATATGGTACTCTTTTCAATCCATGGACTAGTTTAGTGGCCCTCCTTTGTATTTTTTCAAGTGCTTGTATGTCCTTATTCAAATAGGGACCAGCCGCTTGCACACAGTGCTCAAGATGAGGTCTAACATACACCGAAAAAAGGGTTTTGAAGTTCTTCACTGTTAGTTGACCAAAGGTCAGCCTCAGTACCCTGAGGGCAGACATGGCCTTGTTTGCTGACTTAGAACAGTTCAATGAAGGTTTCAGTGTGTTGGTAATGTACACTCCAAGGTCCTTTTCTACAAGAGTTTCCTCAAGCATTTGTGGCCGCCCAGTTACTGTTTTCATTGTGTAAGTGAATCCAGGATTTTGGGAGCCGCAATGCATTACTTTGCATTTTTCCAAATTGAATTGCAACAACCACTCTCCAGACCACTTGGTGAGTATATCCAGGTCAGCTTGCAGCTTTAGAGCATCACTTTGATTACTAACAGGTCCATACAACTTGGTATCGTCTGCGTACATTTTAATCTTGCTTCTGACCAGGCTTGGTAGTTCATTGACATAAATGATGAATAATACAGGACCTAACACCGAACCTTGGGGTACCCCACTTCTGACTCTGGACCATGTGGACAACTTGTTACCAACCGAAATTCTCTGGGTACGGTTACTCAAGAAGTCTGATATCCAAGCAAGGACTTCTCCCTTGATATTATAACCTTGCAGCTTCACACAGAGTCTTCTGAGCGGCACAGTGTCAAAAGCTTTCTGATAGTCCAGGTAAATTATGTCAAGTCCTGCTCCCTCATCTACTGTCTTGGTCCAATCCTCAAGTGATTCTAATAAATTCGATTGACACGATCGGTGTTTTACAAACCCATGCTGGTGAGGTGATATAAAGTCATTCTCTTCTAAGTGGTTGATGATGTGCTTCTTTACTATTCTTTCGAGCATTTTGCAAACTTGACTTGTAAGGCTAATGGGCCGATAATTATTGGGTCTTGCTCTCTTTCCTTTCTTGAACAATGGAATGATGCATGCCTGTTTCCAATCACCAGGGAGCTCGCCAGCAGACAGAGACTTCTGGAAAAGCATGGTCAGAGGAGAAACCAGTACCTCAGCACATGATTTTAGCACCACAGCTGGTAACTCATCAGGTCCACCTGCTTTGCCTGGTTGCAGCTTTTGTAGCTCGCGTAGAACTTCTTCGGAAGTGATTGTGATGCTGTTCAATACAGATGAATCACTGTCGGCCTGGGTAAAGTTTGGGATGTTTGTCATATCCTCATCAACAAATACAGTTTGAAAGTACTTATTCAGCTCTTCAGCTGTTTCATAATCGTTTTCAGTTAACATCCCATCATCCTTTTCCAGGGGTCCAACCTGTGCTCTCACATTTGAACGACATCTTACATATTTGTATAGCTTACCAGGGTTTGTTTTCAAGTCTTCAGTAAGTTTTGCTTCATATTCGGACCTCGCTTTCCGCAACATACAAGTAGTTCTGTTTCTCTGCTTAGCATATGCTTCGTACTCTTCACTTCTCTTGGTTCTCGCATATTCCTTCCAGGCTTTATGCTTTATCTTCACTTCTTTGGTCAAAGCTTTGTTCCACCATGGTATCTTCTTCTTTCTTGTCTTCTTCCTGAAAATGGGCACATACTTGCTGATAGCCAGGTGCAATTCCCTTTTGATGAAGGACCAAGTTTGCTGCACATTCATTGGGCTTATCACACTCCATTCTGTCCTACTCAGGTGATTTGACATATCTACATAATTCCCTTTGCCGAAGTTGTATCTCTTGAAAAATTCACATGCCTTCATCTTGTCATGCTCTTCGTAAATGCAATTCCAGGTAATCACAACATGGTCACTTTTACCCAAGGGTTGACTAGCTTCCAGTTCATCTACTAAGTGTCCACGGTTGGAAAATATTAGATCCAATGTTGATGGAGATTGACCGATTCTGTAGCGAGTTTTAAAATTAACATGCTGCTGAAGGTACAGATTTTGCATAGTTTCAAAGAAAGTTGCCTCCTCACTATCCCCTGGCCCTTCAACGTATCCATCTTCCCAACATATACGAGGAAAATTGAAGTCACCCATAATAATAACATTTTTCATCTTCATTTGCATGGCTTCTTTAACTAGTAGTATCAACTTGTCATTGTTTACTTTGCAGGAGTTTGGGGACCTGTAGCACACCCCTACTAGAAGCTTTTCAGCATGAGACAGATGTATAGTACACCACACTGATTCTTCAAAGCCAATTTCATTTAACTGAGAACATTCAGTAGTCTGAAAACAATCTCTTACAAACAGCATGACTCCCCCACCTTTCTTATTTGCATCTCTGTCATGCCTCAGTACTGGGTGGTAACCATTCAGCACATAGCGATCCTTCAACCACACTTCTGATATCCCTATAATGTCGGGGCTTTTCTCTTCCACTAGGCCCTCAAACTCTTCAATTTTGTTTCTTAAACTACTGATGTTTGTGTACAGACACGAGACCACTTTTGGGCACCACTTTGCCTCGAAAAATGGTGTGTGTCCCCTTTCCCTTTTGCAGGAGTTCTTCCCTCAACCTTTTCTGAGCCTCTCTTTCCTCAGGAGACAAATCTTTCGTCAAGTACACATTCGGATATCCTACTTCTTTCAGTTGTGTCCGTCTTTTAATGAGCTGGTTCACAAGATCCCTGTCTTTCAGTTTTATCATCATAAGCCTTGGTTTCTGACTGGCATTGGACCCAGATGACCCCTGAGTCTCCTGCTTCTTCCCCAGTCGAAAAACTTGGGCTATCTCAACTTTCACATCCCCTAGAAGGGAGGAGACGACACCCTTGAAATTGTTTGTGTCATGTTGCTTACGCACATCGGGATCTGGCGACATACTCTCAGGTATGTTATGTAATATGATATTGCTTTCCCTCTCATCTTTGTTTTGAGCCTGCACTATCTTTTTTATCTCGGCCGCACTATGTTTAAGCTCTTCTGTATACCGAGGGACTGTCTGTACTGCCTCCTTTTGTTCCTTCATAAAAACTTCTGTTTTTGCCTGTTTTTCACAAAGCTGTTCCACAGCTTTCTCTAAATGCCCAATTTTCTCTGTCAACAGTGCTCGACTTTCATCCTGTGTCTGGTCCTTGAGAGTATCCAAAATTTTCTTCTCGGCTTCAGCTATCCTAGACTCTAAATTGTTTCCTAAATCCAGAAGAGCAGTGACCTTGGGCCTGCATGCCGAACACAGCCACAGGAAATCATATTCTGACAGGGCTATAAATGCCTCCACAGACAGGCCCTGGCACTTTGGATGAAACCATTCTTTGCAAGCATCGCACATAATGCTATCTTCTTTGCTAGAGATAGATAGTCCACATACCTTTTGTCCTCCTTTGCACGTGTACCTTATTTTTCTGGACTTCCTCGCTGGACTCCAACCCTTCTTTTCCTTCCCACCTACCTCTTCACCCTCGCTTGCCTTGCTTTTTTCACAATCACCATCTTCATCTTTTGTCTGTTCCTTGGTCTGTTCCACGGTTGCCTGCGCCATATTTTTTGCTATCTACCTACCCCTGGAGCACTCTGTCAAAGCCAGGCAGTCCATGCAATCTGTTGAGATTGGTAATATATAATACTGAACGAGGCCGGTGTAAATAAATTTTCAAGACCGAGGTCCTTACTGGATTTTTGAACGAGGCCGAAGGCCGAGTTCAAAAATCAGTAAGGACTGAGGTCTTGAAAATTTATCACCGGCCGAGTTTGGTATGTATTTTACTGTATGCCAACCATAAATTTATTTTCTGGACCGAAGCTCTTAGCCGACTTAGGAACGAGACCATCCCAAAATGTTGGCTTTAGTGCATTCTGGTAATGCATTTTTGACCGTGGTCAATTTGCTTACACCAGTTATTACCACACCCCTCAGGCTAATGTATTTGAATAGGCCAGGCATACAGTAAAACCTCACACATTACTTCAGCAGTGGGCTGTTACCGATCTATGTATGCAGTGACAGGCCATCTTAACCAATTTCCAAAACAACTACAAGGGAATGCTAGCTTAGCACTGCAAAATCATCATTTGCCCTGATTCATGTGTGATAGCCCATTTTCGTGCATGCAGTATGTTCCTGGCAGATACTGCATGATGTGTGCTGACTCACTGTTTTTGTTCTAGGGCAGCCATGGCCCCTGGTGTGTGTGATGTGGAGGCAATGCTGACTGGCCTGTGTGAGGAGGTTCAGTCCTCAGCCAACAAGCTGCACAAAACCGACTTTGCTGTAAGTGCAAACCTGGACACTGGTTGTTTTGGTTTAGACTGAATGATAGGTGCAAAATGAACATTACGATTTGCATGTCCCCAGTAAATATGCTTATAAGAATGCAAGGCATGTCAGGACAGGAGAGACAAGCAGTATCATTTACCAGCAATGAGTAAAAATCCACACCAGCCTGCTCCATTGAGTCCATGTGAAGCTATAAAGGGCTCCATTTGGAAATCCACTCATAAGTTTAAAGTAGACTGCTGTAGATAAGAGGGATGAACTGCCTTAGATATCCAGAATACCTATCTAAGGATGATTATCTTGGGCAGTACTGCACCAGTACTCTTGCTATGCATGTTACCATGGTTAGGTGCATGCTGCACCGTCCAAGATAACACCAACATATTACGCAGTGACATTAAAACTGTCATACTATACAATATAGAGTTTGGTTTAACCATCGCCCGTATAGGGGGTGTCGAACGGACCCCTCGTTTTTTTTTCCGCGAATAACTCGCGTAAAAAGCGGCCGATCGCGACGAAAATAACAGTACCCTCGCGCTAATCAATTTTACACCTAACCTGAATGTTGCATTACCCTGACCAGAATGACCTTTGACCTGTGACCTATTTCTCGAGACCATGTTTGGCCGGAATCACGATTCGGGTTAGCATTAGCCGCGCGTTTGCAGTCTTTTCGTGGTTTCAAGCGTTCAGACATGTGATACCGATGTTGGTCCCATGCATAAGGGTTGGTGCCAAGGTCACCTGAAGGTCAGGTCCGGTCATTGACCTTTGCTGACCTTGATTCACTTTTCGAGTTTTACATGTTTCTAGGCTAGTTTTTTTTTTATAGCTAAATTCGAATTTAGCAGCCATTTGAACATAAACGAAGTTGTTTTGGTGTCTTCGTAACATGCTACGAAGCTGTCGGAGGCGGTTAACACGTTCTTCGAATACCCGGCAGGGCCCCTACTGGTTGACCTGACCTGGCCTGACCCGATCTGGCCTAAATGCATAAAGACATCATTGGTGATCAAAACTTACATGATATTCATGATCAACACAAAACAAAAACAAACAAAAACACGTAGCAGCTACACTTTTCGACTTTCTAACAGGTCCCGATTTTCCCGACTTTTAGGTCATTGACCTTGACTGGAAGGTCAACCAATGATCTAGGACCTTAAAATTGGGTATTGTCGGCTTCCTCTCGTCACGGGCAAAGCGCTCGTTTTTTCCGCGGAGCTCTAGCTTGATCAGGGGCCAAATGCTAAGGGGAGTCCAACTGACCTCCCCCCCCCCTTATACGTTCGCGGTTGGCAAAACACCAATACGGTTGGGGGTTAAGGAACAGTTTTACAATGCCAGGCTTTGTAATTGGATACAGGCACATGCTCACCTAAGTAGCTAAGTGGGATTTGGGAGAGTGTCGTCTTTAGGAGGACCAGTGGTTGCACTACGCTCAGACCACTTCAGTTGTTAATGCTGTTTGTTCCCACAGTAAATGCCCGTGATACTCACTAAGCCACCAAGACAAAGCAATGAGACTAATTCAAATACTAGTCCTTAAACGTAATTATGCTGGTAATTAGGATTCACTCATGCATAAAAAAATGTGCAACCAAATTTGTGCAATTGCGTCTACTGCAATCTGTTTTGCTAAAAAACGGTTTGCATCTTTACAATGCCTCTGGCCATGTCCTGCCAAAATTTTCATGCAGGTAAAGCTAGTATTCACAGAATAAGCTGCTGAATAATTCTGCCTCATCCTGACCCTTTCGCATCTCCCAGATGCAGTTTTGCATCTGCCCCTAGCAGATAAACTAGACTACCTTCTAACTCTGGCCCCTGCGTGGCACAGGAACACTTTCAATGGCTCTCGGAGATTGTCGAGGAGACCCGCAAGCAGCTGTGGGGCGCCCCCGAAGGTGATGAGAAACCCCAGAAGCCAGATGACACGGCGACGAGCGTGGCGAACACGAGCGATGCCGCCGAGCCGGCCGGACCCTACCTGCTGCCGCGCACGCCCAGCATGAAGCGCCGCCGCAAGGAGACGGACCAGGCGAGCCGGCTGGCGGCGCTGAACGCCAGTCTTATGGAGACCAGCACCAACACCAGGAGCTGCCGCGCCGCCTCCAAGGTACGTGCCCTAACACCAGGAGCTGCCGCGCCGCCTCCAAGGTACGTGCCCTAACACTAGGAGCTGCCGCGCCGCCTCCAAGGTACGTGCACCAACACCAGGAGCTGCCGCGCCGCCTCCAAGGTACGTGCACCAACACCAGGAGCTGCCGCGCCGCCTCCAAGGTACGTGTACCAATACCAGGAGCTGCCGCGCCGCCTCCAAGGTACGTGCCCTAACACCAGGAGCTGCCGCCCCGCCTCCAAGGTACGTGTACCAATACCAGGAGCTGCCGCGCCGCCTCCAAGGTACGTGCCCTAACACCAGGAGCTGCCGCGCCGCCTCCAAGGTACGTGCCCTAACACCAGGAGCTGCCGCGCCGCCTCCAAGGTACGTGCACCAACACCAGGAGCTGCCGCGCCGCCTCCAAGGTACGTGCACCAACACCAGGAGCTGCCGCGCCGCCTCCAAGGTACGTGCACCAACACCAGGAGCTGCCGCGCCGCCTCCAAGGTACGTGCACCAACACCAGGAGCTGCCGCGCCGCCTCCAAGGTACGTGCACCAACACCAGGAGCTGCCGCGCCGCCTCCAAGGTACGTGCCCTAACACTAGGAGCTGCCGCGCCGCCTCCAAGGTACGTGCCCTAACACCAGGAGCTGCCGCGCCGCCTCCAAGGTACGTGCCCTAACACCAGGAGCTGCCGCGCCGCCTCCAAGGTACGTTCCGATCACCGCCGCGACGGCGGACAACGCGAGCGGGCCTCGGTCGGCAGGAGTCATGGCTCCAAGTGCTTTGATGTTTTGATCATTGTTTGGCCTGGACAGTGGACGCTATCGGAACTATTTATATTTCGTTTTTCGTTTCGTCTTTCGATATTTCGTTTGTTCGATACGCTATGCGTACGCTGTAAGTGTTGCTCGTTTGACCCGTGCGGTCGTGCCGGTAGGTCTCCAACCTGAAGCGAGTGCAGCAGATGCAGCAGATGAAGGGGAAACTGCGCCGGCCGCGCAGCTCGTGCTTGCGCGCCGAACAGGAGCTCCTGGAGAAGGTGCGCCGTGGCCACCGCGTGGCCATCGATAGCAGCGACTCGGAGCAGGAACAGGAGCAGGAGCGGCGCCGGCCGCCGCGCCGCGGCAAACGCTCACCGCCCGCCGAGCCGCGCACACCGCCCGCAGAGAAGCGCAGCCGCACGCGGACCGCCGAGCCCGTCAGTCCCTACATCAGGTGAGAATGCACCACTACTCAGACTACTCCAGTTGTGTAGGTTGCATGGAGAAGTATCATCAGACAACTGCTTTGCCTTCGAGTGACGTCTTTGCTCGTTCTGTGTCGAGCAGGGTGGATGAGAAGCCAGCCGTTCGGACCATGGTTCGCGCCTACGAGGCCTACGTGGGTACCGCCGACGAAGGTGGAACGCCGGGCCGTGCGCGGCCGCCCGCCGCCACCCCGGGCACGCCGAAGACGCCCGTTCCTCTGCCGCGACAGAAAGCGCCTCAGCCGACCCAGCCGCCACCTGAGGAGAAGGCAGATCCCCAGACCCCGCCCCAGACCTCCGCCGCCGCCGCCACGAAGACTCCTCCAAAGGCTCCGGAGCCCCCGGTCGAAGAGCCCAGCCCAGTGCGGGCTCAGAGCCGCCGCCAGACACGCAGCAAGGTGGCAGCCGCTGCGCCCGCCCCGCCTCCGCCGCCGCAGAAGGAAGAGCTGAAGACGCCGCCGCCGTCCAAAAAGAAGCCAGCCTCTCCGCCCCAGACGGCGGCGTCACCCCGAACCCCGCCGAAAGCTGCCGCCGCAAAGGCCCCGTCCCCAGTGGCTCCAGCGCTGGCCGAGGAGCCGAGCCCCGTGCGGGCTGAGAGTCGGCGCCAGACACGAAGCAAGGTGGCTGCCGCCGCGCCGGCCCCGCCGCCGCCTCCGCCACGATCCGCCGCGCCGCCGGCCGCTGCGGAGCCGGAGCAGTCGGCGGCTCAGGCAGACAGTGCTGACAGTGCGCCGATGGCATCAGGCGACAGCACGGACGCAGCCGTTACCGCAGACTCGGCCGACTCGGCGGGAGAAGTGCCGATGGACGTCGACCAGCGGGAGGAGACTGAAGAGGATGCTGGGGAACACGAGGGAACGGAGGATTCACAGGAGGGAACGGAGGAATCGCAGGAGGAGCAGGACGCCGCCCCGGAGAGGCAGGGCCGACGTCGGGTTTCTTCGGCACCAGAAGTGATGGACGTTAACGCCGTCCGCCGTCTGACTCGAACCCAGGCCGCCGTCAACCTGGTAGAACTGGACCCGCCGTCGCCGACCGAAAGCCGCCGCCAGACGCGCTCCCGTGCCGCCGCGCCGGAGAGCAAACCGCTGGCGACGGCGGCCGAGTCCCAACAAGACCAGTCAGGTGCCGAGCGGCGCCAGACGCGTTCTCGAGCCGTCACGCCGGCAAGCGAGCATACTTCGCCGGCGGAGAATCGCCGCCAGACGCGGACCCGCGCCGCCCAACAGCCGGAGCCGGAGACCGCCGAGAGTCGCCGTCAGACCTGGACGCGCGCCGGCCCGCAGCCGGAGCCGGAGGCAGCAGAAACCGCCGAGAGTCGCCGCCAGACGCGGACGCGCGCCGCGTCACAGTTAGAAACAGCGGAGGCAGCGGAGGCCGCCGAGAGTCGCCGCCAGACTCGTACGCGCGCCGCCCCACAGCCGGAGCCAGAGGCAGCGGAAACTGCTGAGAGTCGCCGTCAAACGCGGTCGCGAGCCGCTCCACAGCCAGAGGCCGCGGAGGCTGCCGAAACTCGTCGCCAGACGCGGACGCGCGCCGCGCCGGAGTCTGATGGAGCGGACGCGGCCGAGGAGCGTCGCCCGCTGCGTCGCGTCTCGTCGGCGCCAGACGTGCGCAGTGCGCGGCCGGCGCGTGGCGCCGACGAGTCCCAGACCTCCTCCCGCGGCTCGCCGGGAGACTGGGCCGATCGCTCCACCAACACGGCCAGCAAGCCGGCCAGGGGCAAGGCGGCACGCTTCACTCCGCAGGTGAGCCATAACTCGGGGCTGTGAGCACGCCGTTTGATGCAATTCAGGAGCGGAACATATGGGTAGTCAAGTCGTGAAACGGATAAGTGTATGCTGAAATAGCGTTCCCAAAGGAAAGCACGCTAAATTTTGTATACGTTGACCGACGTATGCCGGCCATCTTTTCAGTTCTGTTGGTCACTGTGACTGTAGTCTCTCCATGTATTGAGTGTCTAAATATGAATCAGATACTCATTCAATAGTATTATTCGTTCCCTCAGCCGGGCCGAACTCGCGGCGCCAACATTGCCATGCCGGTGGACGGCAGCAGCAGCTTCATCCAGCGGGCGCCGGCGCGTCCCACTGCCGAGGAGCTCGAGCAGCGCCGCCGACTGGAGGCGCAGAAGAAGCGAGAGCGCGAGGAGGAGGCCCGCCGCAAACGGGACGAACTGATCCGGATGCGTGCCGAGGAGAACAGCCTGTGAGTACCGCCACCCGGCCGCCCCTCGCAGGTCCGCCAGCGGAATTCGTTCGTTATTCGCTTGCAATAATGTTTGTGAGCAGTTTTTTCGTCATGCAGCAGTAATTAGTACTCTGAAGTTGTTGCTGCATTATTGCATATTCTGTTTGAATGATTGTAATTGTATGGTACTTTCCTACCTGAAGATTACTTTTGCTATTCGGTTCTCATCCTAAATAACCACGCATCGCTGAAGTAAAAGCAGCTAGCAATAGATAAACTTGAATTGAAATGACATCGCCTTTTCACTAAGAAAATGATTATTGACGTGACGGATATTTTTTCTAGGACTGTTTCAGTACTCCTTGTTACATGTTGCTGTAACTTGTTAGACCTCATACATGACTTGGTCTCTGAGCCGACAGCTGGGAGAGTGTCGTTTTGCTGTTTTTTTTTCTGGCGCCTCTTGCTGTTGGTTCCGCTGTAGCTTACCTCTGACAATCCCACCCCGTGTGCCCGCAGGAAGCGCCAGGAGCGGCAGCAGCGCGCCTTTGAGCAGCGTCGCCAGCTGGCCGAGGAGCAGCGGCGCGCGCTGCAGCAGAAGCAGCAGCGTCAGGACGAGCGCGCCGAGACGGCGCAGCGCGACACCGAGCGCAAACGCCAGGAGGAGGCACTCCGCAAGCGGCGCCTGCTGGCCGAGCGCCAGCGCGAGGTGGAAGAGAAGCGGCGCGCCGACGAGCAGGCGCGCGCCGCCCGCGCCCGCCAGCTCCAGCAGGAGGAGGAGGAGCGGCGCCGGCAGCACGCCCTGCGCGAGCAGGAGCGCATCGCGCGCGAAAAGGCCGAGAGCGCCCGCCTGGCGGAGCGCGAGGCGGCGCTGAAGGCCGAGCGCGAGGCGGCGGCGCTGAAGGCGGAACAGGAGGCCGCGCAGCGAGCGGAAGCCAAGGTGAGGGTGGCGGAGGCGGCTGCGTGGGGTTCGTTAATGCATCATAGTTTTACCCGTTATAGGCTGCTACTCTCAGTGCTAATCCCGGTATCCATCCCAGCTGCTGATTAATCCCTGATTGCTTAGGTGTAGTGTGGCTGCAGCGGCTGCAGTGTTGTCCACACGTTTTATTATTGAGTGTTTTGCAACGTCGTGGCGTGTGATACCAGCTTTCCATGATCCATTATGACAATCAGCCTTATCATTCACCGCATGTGGTCTGTGTATCTCCCACAGAAGATGCCGCCTCCCGTCAAGGCCGGGCTCAACTCCACCTTCACCATGAACGAGGACGAGCACACCACGGCGCCGCCGCCGCCGCCGCCCATCACCTCGTACCAGATCACCCCCGGCCGGGACGAGCTGCCGCCGCAGCCGCTGCGAGACAAGGACAACTACAACATCGACGACCTCAAGTCGGACGACGACACAGATGACGAGTCGGCGCCGCGCAAGGAGATCCCCGCCTGGGCCACAAGTCAGTACCGGGGCGGGTGGTGGGGTGGGGACGACCGGAACGGCTGGCCGCTCCGGGTGGTTCACGGGGGGGGGGGGGGGTATAGTTAATTACGCCATTGGTAACAACATGCATGGGCGGTATAAGTTATTTTTTATAGTAGTATCACGCATTCGTCAGTTGGCTAGTGTTCAGTACGGTACAGTGCGCGGCAGCTGTGTTACGAACGCAACCGTGGAGCGTCATCTGTGTGTGTGCTTGGGAGGACGGTAAACGTTCTTGGGAGTCTAAAGTTATCGATTGGCCCCTTTAGACTTGAGATATCTTGCCGTCTTATTTCGTATCTTGGTGTCGATCTACTTTGTGACTGCATTTACTGTCATGCTCACAATTCACAATAGCTGCGCTGGTTTATGTGAACGATACTGCAGTTTTGTCTAAAAGGAAGTTAAACTGCTTTTCTGTGCTACCATCCCGCTTTATTCCGTATTTTCCGAGTCCTGAGGCCAGTTTTACCAACATAAAAATAGCCGCCTGCCGGAATTTTTTGCCTAAAGACCGCTTCACATACGGAGCGTAAACTGTAAAGCCTTATCCGCTTACGTGCCCATCGCGTTTGCGCTCCATATGTGATGCGGTCTTAAGGCAAAACATTCCGGCAGATGGCTATTTTTATGTTGGTAAAACTGGCCTCTGTTCGACTGTTCGACAGAATGCCAGTTTGGGCTCGTTCAGATAGTCAGTACGTGCTGCCCTTCATCAGCCCATCCGTCATTTCATCCGTTTATCCGTTCGTTTATCTCTGCTTAAACGTGCGGTGTTCATCCGAACTGTCGGCACGTCCTAACATTTCGATAATCAGCAAACGAACCCAAGCACATGTCTGTCTGAATGGCCTGCCTCGGCGCCCGTCTGACCCCGTCTGACCAGTCACCCTAACCCGCCCGTGTTTCCGCAGAGGCGCGCCTGCAGGCGGCGCTGATCCGACAGGTCTACGACGGCCCCAACACGGACACCATCTTCCCGCCGCACGAGATGTTCCCAGACGTGCGGCTGGAGCACATTTTCGCGTTCGCCCGGAGGCGCTTCTTCAAGCGTACCTCCAGCGCGCACTGGGACACGCCGCCGCGACGGCCCTAGGAGGTGGACGGAGGACTGTGGGATGACTGAGGCTCTGTGACGCCCGGTCACCGGCGGAGGCGCGGACTGAACGGACCGGTGCTGACACGCGCCCCGTGCTCACTAGTGAGAGCTCACGGACAACGGCCGGGCGTGGAGGGTCCGTGCAGTGTTGTGTTATGTAGGTAGGAGTCACATGTTGTAGACAGTGGCGATGTCGGTGGTGGCGGAGGGTGCTGTCGCGAGATACTCGCTGACACCCGCTGGTGCCAGGCGAGGTGTAGTGGGAATACCATCGGCATGAGAGCCACCCCGCGCTGGTAGGTGTAGTTACCCACTTGTATGTACATGTTTACTGGTGCTGCCCAGAGAGAGGAAGCCGGGCGTATGACAACAAATCACGCCGCATCCACGACGATGTTATCTGACAAGGCCGATCCTTCCGTTCAGCTAATTAGTTTGTTGAGGCCTGTGACGTCACGGTCGCAGACTGCGTCGATGGCAATATGCTCGACCTCACTCTTGTCTGTGTGGGTGCGATCATAGGGTAGGTTGTATAATTGTCCCGTGAATTTCTCCATTCATCTTGCTGCCATCGCTAAACTTCTTCGTTTCCTCTAGTAAAAACTGTTGTATCCTAATTTGTTTTAGTGTAAATAAATAAAGGTACATCACCTTCCATCGTCAGAAAAGATGCTTTTTATTGTGTTGTGGACCCATTGACCTGGGGTATGAAAACAGACGGCATCATTTGCACCAGTGGAATTGCGAGACAACTAACCCCACCAAGGTCAGTGGGGGCTCGGCTGCGGCCTGCGGTTATGGAACGTCATTGGCCGGACGACGTAGAATCTTCGCCGTCCGAGAGACATCGAACGCGGGGTAAGATCATGGGCTGCAACATCTTGTACAATGAATGCCGCACTTGCGTTCTGATTAATGAAGCTCTTCGGTGTCCATGCCTCGCTGAAAAACTGCTCTACAACAACGGAACATGGGTGTCGATTTGTATACTTTTGGGGGTGCTGCAGCACCCCCAATGCTCAAATGAGCACCCCCAATGGTTTTCCGGGCACCCCCAAATGTTCCAGTCAGCACCCCCAATTATTTTGTCCCTCAATAACTCCCACTAACTCTGCTTGAGGAAAATAATTGGTTCCGCAGTCTTTCAATACTAAAAATAAAACAATTACCTACGCAATTTACAATGCATGAAATAAAAATGTAAAGAAAAGAAAAGTTGGTCATAAGAAGAAGGGCGAAAAAAGACGTTAAGTTGCAGACTGCAGAGACACTGGTGTGGGTCCGTCGTACACGAGTGTCTGACCCTTAGAGCTGATAACGCGTACCCTTTACAAGCCGGCAGGGGGCTCCAGATACCGGCGACGGGCCCTCAGAGGCCGGCAAAGGGCCATCAGATGCCGGTGGTACCTTCAGAAACCCTGTGGGGTCGTCTTTAGAAACCGGCACGGACTCAGACGCCGATGGGGCCCTCAGAGTCGCCGGTGTGGGGCCTTCAAATGTCACCGGTGGGTGGCCGTCATATGTGCACTTGTGGGCAGGGATGCGGAGCCGTGGAAATTTCAGACGGCTCCGGCTCCGGCTCCGGCTCCGGAGAAAAAATCGGCTCCGGCTCCGGCTCCGGGTGAAATGTCAATACGGCTCCGGCTCCGGCTCCGAGTAAAATGGTCCGGCTCCGGCGGCTCCGGCTCCGGCTCCGGCTCCTACTCAGTACATTCCCCATGCGATTAATTAAATACGGGTGGAAGAAAAAAGGCGATTGGATTGGCACACGTTTCTGTATTTGCATAACAAGGATATTTGGAATACCACATGTTTTACTGCTTTGTACTGTCAAACCGAGTTAGGTCAATATTTTTTTTTCCTCGGAGCCGGAGTCGCCCCTTTTTTGACGGCTCCGGCTCCGGCTCCGGCTCCGGGCTGTGTTGTTTCACGGCTCCGGCTCCGGCTCCGGGCAAAATATACCGGCTCCGGCTCCAGCTCCGGCTCCGCATCCCTGCTTGTGGGGCCTTCAGAAGCGACGGTGTTGGGCCCTCAGAGCCGCCGATATAGGGCCTTAAGAGGCACTAGTGCGGGGCCCTCAGATATGGCAATGTATGGCCCTCGGAGGCGCCGGTGTAGGTGCTCCACAGTTGCCGGTGATGGCCCTCACAGTACAGCCCCCACAACCGTGCCGGTTGTGGGGGCTCTCAGAGACACTGGTTTAGGGCCATCACAGGCGCGCGTGTGGCCCTCAGAACTGCTGTTACGGAACGGACCCTTCATAGGCCGACAAGAAGATATCAAGAGGTCACCGGTGCCTTCAGGAGCCTTGTGGGGTTCTCAGAGACCGGACATGGTGCTCTCAGACGCCGCTGTGACCCTCCGAGTCACCTGTGTGGGACCGTCAGGGTCGCTGGTAACTGACGAGGGTATCGCCGTCAGATCCGGGGTTTGGGTCGATACGGCTCTATTCCGGCTAGCCAGTATATGTCGTAGCGCTCCCGGGTTGGTATGGTTCCGGACCGCCAAGTCTGGCTCAAGTCAGGCTCCCTGCCATGGCTCAAGTCCGGCTCCCTACGACCAGGTCCGGCTGCACCTCATAGCTGCTCTGGCTTATGTGAGGGGGGCTTAGGCCGGTCCTGCAGGCCCTTCGTTACCTCCCCTCCGGATCTCTACTCTACTCTACAGGATCAGTGGTCGGCCGGGACGTCTCCCAGCCTTTTACCCGTCTGCCACCCGGGCCACTGTCCTCTGAACTAAATGTACTAAACTATGCATCGTGGTTCAGGTGAATAACTCCGCCATTTTGGGGCACACGCGGTTTGTAGCGTACCCTCATGGGTTTGGAGCTAAGCTCCTGAGCCGTGATGACTAAACTACGGTACCGAATGAATCAGACTCCGCTCAACCTCCGTTCTCCTCCGACTCAACCCGTCTCCAAATGCATCTGGTCAATTCTAAACCCATTTATTGTAAAAACCGAACATCATAAAGGACTGCGCATTGAATTGGATCCGAGACGACCGATTATTTCCGTTTCCGCAAGTTTCTACCCTAACACTACCCTAACGGTTCACGGCGCGCGAATCTACCTAACCCTCCACCCCGGTGCTCCTATCCTAACTATGGGATGTGCTTTGAGCCCAGCATCAATCCCTGCGTGACAGGAACCTACCTCGAGCCAGGTGAGCCAGCAGCAGAGAGCAGTCGGGGGCTCGATGTCCGTACCGGACGGCAGTCCGACACCAAGAGCCTCGATCTCCTCTCCCCTGCTTTCGTCTCGTTCCTCGCCCGAGTAGGCCACGCCCACATCAGCCGCCTCGAGGCCATAGATGGCGGCCGATGTGCCCGTGCGGTTCCCGCCGCGCTGGCCTCCTTTCAGACCCCTGCCTAAATATCCCACGCGTACAATTTTAACAAAACCAAGGTAACTAAAACGGACACTGACTCAAACTAATCTCCAAGCTGGTACGGCCGCTCACCCGCTCCCCTACATAATACCCCCCTCTCCGGCAGGGGGGAAAAATTCCCTTACTTTCCGGGAGAGGGGCGTTTGTGTCCATGTTCCTACCGCGGCTGTGTGCGCCCTCGAGGCGGCGCGCCTTCGGGGTGTCACGCGTGCCTCCCCAGCATGCGCGGTTTCCGCGGCGGCTACTTCTACTTCTTCGTCTACTGCTACTTCTGTTCTCTTTTCTTTTCTTCTCTTCTCTTCTCTTCTCTTCTCTTCTCTTCTTTTTTTCTTTGACGGCGATAGGCGCGCCTTCGCGCGGTGCGTGCTTCGCGGCCACATGTGCGCCTCCGCGGCGTCGCACATGCCTCCGCGGCGTTGTACATGCCTCCGCGGCTTTGCGTGCGCCTCCCCGGTTTCGCACTTGCCTCCGCGGCTTTCTGTGCGCCTCCGCGGCTTCGCACTTGCCTCCGCGGCTTTGAGTGCGCCTCCGCGGCTTTGCACTTGCCTCCGCGGCTTCGTGTGCGTGCCTCCGCGGCGTGGCATATGCCTCCGCGGCGTTGCACATGCCTCCGCGGCTTGCGTTCATGCGTGCGCCTCCGCGGCGTGGCACGTGCCTCCGCGGCTTGCGTGCGCCTCCGCGGCGGCTACCTCTACTTCTTCTCTTCTCATTTCTCGTCTCCGCGGCGGCTACCTCTACTTCTTCTCTTCTCATTTCTCGTTCCCACGGCGGCTACCTATACTTCTTCTTTTCTCATTTCTCGTCTCCGCGGCGGCTACCTCTACTTCTTCTCTTCTCATTTCTCGTCTCCGCGGCGGCTACCTCTACTTCTTCTCTTCTCATTTCTCGTCTCCCCGGCGGCTACCTCTACTTCTTCTCTTCTCCTTTCTCGTCCCTGCGGTGGCTAGTGGCTACCTCTACTTCTTCTCCGCGGCGGCCCTGCCGGGCGGAACCTCGGCCCGGCAGTTTGGTTGGGCCCCGTTTGGTGTCCGACGCAGCGTCGCACGGCGCTCCCCCCGGCGTGGCTGTGGCAGAGGTGTGGCGGCGGTGTGGTGGCGGTTCTCGGCTCGGCAGCTGGTCTCCGGCTCGGCCATCGGTGTCGCGCTCCGGCTGAGGTCCGGCGTCGTACTTTCGCTGCTTTTGGTGGTACGACAGCGGTTCTCTGCTCGGCAGCTGGTTTCCGGCTCGGCCATCGGTGTCGCGCTCCGGCTGAGGTACGGCGTCGTACCTTCGCTGCTTTTGGTGGTGCGGCAGCGGTTCTCGGCTCGGCAGCTGGTCTCCGGCTCGGCCATCGGTGTCGCGCTCCGGCTGAGGTCCGGCGTTGTACTTTCGCTGCTTTTGGTGGTACGACAGCGGTTCTCTGCTCGGCAGCTGGTCTCCGGCTCGGCCATCGGTGTCGCGCTCCGGCTGAGGTACGGCGTCGTACCTTCGCTGCTTTTGGTGGTGCGGCAGCGGTTCTCGGCTCGGCAGCTGGTCTCCGGCTCGGCCATCGGTGTTCTGCCTCGGCTTGGCTGCTGTGGCTCGGTTGATATAACAGCGCCAGCGCCGGCACTTCGCAGCAGCTGAGCGCTCGCCGCGATCGCAGCGGGCTCTAGGATGGCGTTGTCTACCGGTTCTGGCGCCTACCAGCTCAGATGGCGCGCCGGTTGGAGTAGGATCCGCCAGCCGCCGAGTGTCTTACCACCGAATTGGATCGGCGCCGCGCCGCTACCGCCACACTGCAGTGGTTCCACGTGCGCCGCGCCGCTACCGCCACACCGCAGGGGTCCCACAGCTGGCCGATCATCAGACCGCGAAGGCCCGACCTCATCGGGTGGCCTCCGGCGCCTCGCGCCGTCGTACGCATTGGCACATTGGCCGTCACACGGGCCACCAGATGGCAGAGTAGCTCGATGGGTCGCGCTACGCATTGGCATATTGACCGTCACACGGGCCACCAGATGGCATAGTAGCTCGGTGGGTCGCGCTCCAGGATGGCGCTGCCGTCGGTGATTGGGTGGGCAGACAGGCGCGGCGGAGACGGCTCGGAGTCGTAGCCCGTCTTGCTGTGGCGTGCTGGCACTACGTGACAGGAGCACGGCGGCAATTGATGACCACTGTGCTCGTCACTTCCCGGCACCGCCGATGGTTTGCGGGCTCGGACGGAGGTCGTCAACGCCAGTGATGGTCGACGTACGATGGTGGCGCCGGTCCGTTATCCCTGTTGGCAGCTGCCGCTGGACGGGGCATCGCCGGCCTGC